GTTGCTCAGAGTCAGTTCAGTGCTTCTGAGAAGGAGCTAGCGCTGCTGCGGGATGCTGACCGGGAGAAGAACGACACTGTGGACATGGCTGAGCCTCTAGAGACAGCGGATGACAACACCTGGATTAAGGAGCCAGTGGATAGTGAGAGCTTGCCCATGACGGATTCTGTGACTGGAATGGCCTTCAGCATCGAGAACTCTCAGATGTGCATGTCTCCGCTCGCGGAAAGCAGTGTCATTCCTGGCGAGAGCAGCAACGGTCAGGTAAAACACTGCAGTATCCCACAGGCCTTTACTTATAAGAGGGAAAAGGGATTAAGTGCAATGGTAGCTTTACATAGTTTCTGAAATACCAGTACTAATTCTAGGATGGCTAATTCCTTTTCATTAGGAATGGTTATATATATAAAATATATATATTCACCTTAACTGATACTTATTTGGAGTAGGAAAAGGTGAAATCAGTGATATGGCATGTATAAGTATTAAGTATTGTGCCACAACTCCCATCCCTACTTGTTTAAAAAAAAAAAAAAGATTGCTTTATTTATTTTGAAAATTACACTGAGAGCCAGGAGCTTCATCCAAGTCTCCCATGTGGGTGGCAGGGGCCCACACACCTGGCCATTCTCTGCTGCTCTTCGCATGCCATAAACAACTGGACTGGAAACGGAACGGCTGGGTCTTGAAGCAGGACCCACTGGGGATGCTGGAGTCGGAGGCTGCAGCTTTACCCACTAAAGCATCACACACCTCTCTCCGCTTAGCTTTTCAATCTGTTTTCATAAGCTTTTTGAAGTACCCTTGTGTTCGCTAGGCACTGATTGAGTTGTTTACATTTGTTAATTCATTGTTGTTTCACAATAATCCTGCGGAATAGGTGACTTTCATTGCCATTTTACAGATAACAAAACTAAAGCTTTATGTCAGTGGGAAGTAGGGGAGATTTGAGCCTGACAGTCTGGCTATGGAATCTGTGCTTTTTAATCCAAGTTTGTGCTGACATAATTATAAGTAACACTTGCATAGTGTGTTCATGTGCAAGGCATTTTGCTAACAACTTTTTATTTTAAATTACATACAAATCAATTCATTGAATTCTTACTACAACAGCTAGTAATATTTCAGTGTTGTGAATTTTGGCTTGCCAAAGTTTCTTGCTCTTAGAAGTATTATAATTGACTCAAATATCATTGTTTGCTCAGATTTTTATGCCTAAATTACCTACCATTTTGTGATCCTACACAAAATAAATACATAAAATTACATTTATAAATTTAGCTTCTGAAGTTGTTTTCCTAAATAGCACAAAGAATCAGAAATTACAAAGCACTTTTTTTTTGAAATATACTTTAATCATCAAATCCATCTCTGTATTGGAATTTGTAATTGCAGTCATTACTAAACTGTCATCCAGTCTCCACAGTACCTAGACTAGTCTCGGCTTTAACTTTTCGACTGCAGCATCTTAGCGCTTGCCTTCTACACAGCTCTCTGGCTTAACACTGTTCTCATGCATTGTGATTTTTTTTTAAGACCCTGCAGGCTGATCACAGTTTCCTTTTTGAAGAGTTGAGATAATTGCCTTGCGTACTTTGAAGGTGTTGCTTCATTTGCTGCTGAGCTCTGGAACTGTTCGGTTGCTACAGATGTGTGCGTGGTCTCTGTCTTCCGTGCACTTGCACAGATGTCATTTGTCCCCAGGTTTTGCAGGTTCAGGGAGCTCTCTGGCGTGGGCTTCTTCTCACCCTTTGTGCGGAGCACTCAGAATGCCCTGTTATTCTGTAAACTTGAACCCTCTGCTTCTTGGATCTTTTCATGAATACTACTAGATTTCTGTTCTATAATTTTTATCATTGGAACTCATTTTGATTTTCCGATTTTGGAAGGGATGTCTTCGCTATATATTTTTTTATTTTCAATTTTTGGGGGTGATTTCCTCAAAATTACATAATATTCACTGTTACTTATTTCCATGTATTGAAAGATAGAGCCACTGAGAAAGAGTGAGAGAGCTTCTGTTGACTGGTTCACTCCCAAAAACCCGTGATAACCTGGACATGTGAACTCCAGCTGGTTTTCTTACTAGGTAGCAGGGTCCAAGCACGTGAGCCATCATCTCTACGTCCCAGGATGCATTGGCAGTAGCTTGGTCGGAAGCAGAGGCTCTGCAACCCACACAGGCACTCAGTTGGATGTGGGTGTCCAAGCAAGGCCTTGCATAGTCTAGCAAGGGCCTTTGCAGATTGTGTAGAATCCTTTCACAACTTGTCATAATTAGCAAAGAAACCTTCCCTGATCACACTAGCCAGGCTAGGCCTCACTAAATGCTTTCCTGACTCCCAGGAATATTTTGCATTCTATCCAATCAGACCATTATCCAGCAATCGGGTACGCTTTTGCTATCCCCAGTGCTTAGTTCCAGCGATTGTGTACCACCCTGGTATGTGAAGGAAGCAGAACTGTTGAAGGAGACTGAGCTGAGCCAACCAGAGGAGAAAGATACTAGGAAAGCATGGTGTCCCGGAGCAGCTCATCATGTGAAGAAGGGGTACAAGGGAGAATATCTGTCGGCACTGTTAGATTGGAAGTAAGAGTGAGCGGTAACTGAACAGGCTTAAGGGAAGGAGGCGAGAAGTAACGGAAAGAAAGCTGGAGAAGGTGAATTAATAAAATTATCTGAAGCTAAGTTGTGAGGCAAAATAGAATGATAGAAGACCAGAAGCCAAGGTGATTTGTCTTTTACTTGAGATGGGAGAAATAGCATACTTAAACGAGCAAGAGATTTTTAAAAAGTTGGAATTTTTAGGGTAGTTGCTATCTGTGGGCTGACATTGCAGAGCAGCTGGTTAAGCCGCTGGCATCTCATATCCCATAGCGGGCACTGGTTTGAAACCCAGCTATGCCACTCCAAACCCAGCCCCCTGCTTATGCTCCTCGGAGGGAAGCATAAGGTTCCTGGATCCTGGCTTCAGTGTGGCCTGGCCTGGTTCTGGGGCCATTTGGGGAGTGAACCAAGGGATCAGAGAGTTCTGTTTCTTCTTTCTCTTTTTCAAGTAAAGAAATGAATTTTTTTTTTAAGTAGGTATCTATTATGTGTTCAAGTACCCGAGAGTCTGCCCAGCACTTTGCTGTAGTTATGATAACTTTTTGATGGAGTAGACATCCATTTTATGGATGAGGGGATTAAGGCATGCAGTATGGCTAGAATCTAGAACCCTGCTAAGGCTCAGCAAGGGTTATTGTCGCATCTGTGAGCACAGCAGTGAACAGCAGGGACTCATGGGAGCATAAAGGCAGATATCAGCTTTAGGGCCCAGCTCTGTCAGTTCCAGAGCAGTGTTCACAGTGGACAGGGCCTGAACACCGCTGACTTTTCCTTGGCAGATACTAAGGGGAGACAGGATCCTGAATGGTAGAGTAAGGTGGGCTGAGAATAAGGAGGTAATAGCTGAAATGGATCCCAGATAATCAACCTTTTAAGAAATAACTGTTGCTACGTGTACACCATTAAATTTTTTATTACAGTGGCTTTTGATTTATGCTATGTGTAGGATGATCAACACTCTCAGTTGGCAGTCAGAGCTAAGTTTCAATTTGAGTTCTTTTATTCCAATGCTGTGGGATCTTAAGGCAGGATTACCTTGACAGTGACTAGAGTGTGACGGTTTTCATCTCTTACTCAGCTGTAACGTGAAACTGAGGACTACCACTACATCGGTAGGGAGGAAGATGGGCGAGGCCTACTTGTGACACAGCGGGCACTGACATCAGTGATGGTCTAGATGAATCCATGAGGTCAACTGTATATACCTATATGGCAGAGTCACACAGTAGAAGGAGCGAGCTTTCATTTATCTCCATCCACATGTCCAGTGGGAGTGCCAGGGGCCCAGGTTCTTAAGGGCTAGCTCCTGCTTCCCCATGCACATTAGCAGAAAACTGGATCAGAAGCAGAGCACCCAGATTTTCAACAAGCACTTGAATATGGGGTGCTGGCCCCACTGGCTCCCACCTTACCAGTGCTGGAGTGCAGCAAGCTCACTTTCCTGGCGATGTAGTTTTACGTAATAGCCCTGAGTAAGGAGCCATTTAGCTGGCAGTGATGAATACTGAAGAGTAATTGGTAGATTTTCTGGAACCTACAGATATTTATATTTTTAATCAAATACTTTTGACAAAGAAAATATTTTCTCTGAGATATAATTGATATTACTCTATTTTAAATGTCACAAGGCTTTTTTTATACTAATGGCACGTGACTTTTAAGTGGTGAGCAAATATACATCCACCCAAGAAAACTGGCAAAGTTTTCTTCCCATTATTGGTGAAGTTTACTTTCCAGTAAGCTGTTTGGAGCCTCAGGTCTCAATCACCTCATCTCTGTATGACATTCTGACAGCCTCTGCTACCTCATGCATAATGGTTATTGAAAGGGTGAACTGTTATAAACAGTGCCAATGTGTGAGGCCTCTTCCCTGTAGCTTCTTCCTCAACCCTGCTACAATCTGAGATTAAAGGACTTTTCCTGTGACTTAGTATCTCATTGTGTCCAATTTGTAAATTAGAATATGCACATTAGAGGAGCTTCAAGGGGTTATGAAAATGTGTATCTTTTGCATGTTATCCACATTTTGTAACCTCCTTATATGAAGAGCAAAAATATCATAGATATTCTGGTACTTATAATATACCAGGCTTCCATTGGGGGGGGGGTCTTAATTTAAACACATGCCCTGCAGATAAATGTCCCCATTTACTTGACATGCTAGTCTGAAAGTCAGCTAGAAATGTTTTCTTTTGCTCTTTTGGGCTAGAAGTGTGTTGTAGAAGGCTACTTTTAACCTGGAAAGTTGAACATTCATCTGGATCCATTCATTCTGTTTGTAGTATGATTATGTAACAGTTGGGTGTGAGATTAATATAACCCACATTTTGGAATGCTCTGAAATAATGCCTTTTCAATAAAATTTAGAAATGCAATTAAGACATTTGAAGAATTGGAAAAAAATGACGTTATATCAAAAATATATTTGCTCTTTATCTTCTGAACTTAAGCTTTTGTTTTCCTTTTCCCCCTCCCTCCTATCAGATGGATAGCGGCTATAATACACACACTTGTGGAAGCAACATCATGGACGCGGTTGGAGCAGAAAGTGACGTGCAGTCCTTTGAGATTGAAAACAAGCCTCAAGCTTTTAATATAAAGGTAAGCCACAAACAGATATCGTAATATGGCTATAAGTTAGAAGTACTTACTAAATGTAGGTTTTTATACTATTTCCTAAATTAAGCTAATTATCACGTTTATGCCCTGTCTTGATTTAGCAAAAGGTAGATTTTAAACATTTACACACTGCAGGGTAAAGAGAGGCTTTAGAGGTGAGGACCAGTTACACTTTGGAAAACATCGGTTCTTTTTAAGGGAAAAAAATTTTGCCCCTGGCATTGTCCCAGACATCTCAAAGCTAAATGTATGAAAGAATTCTGATAATAAGGTTAATATTAAAACGGAGACTATATACCAAATTAAAAACACTAAAAGGGCTGCCTATCTTCAGAATCCAGCAGCCTTTGAAGTTGTTTTGCTCTGAAAGGGTGTATTAGTGACTAGTGTCTGTACTCTGGACCAACCATCTACTCGACCTTCTCGGAATGACGGCTTATGGTCATTTACTGTCTGTTCATACTGGAACAAACCCATCATGGTGTTAGTAACAGTCAAGAAGTTATTTGGTTTTATATACCGGTTTATTAATAAACACTATAAACATTAGCAAATACATAAATGAACACAACTCTTTCAATGGAATTGGATAGAAGATCCCCCGTTTTCCTTTCCTCCATTTTGCCTTTTTGCTGTAGTGTCAACAGGTCTCAAAATAGCCTTGAACAAAGTTGATTTTGATAGTAGGCATTAAAATACAAGTCTTTACTGTCCCTTTAGGAGTCCAGCTAAAGAAATTTGCCTTCACATTTTAAAAACAATTTCCCTGATAGTTGCTATTTTAAAAACAAAGCATTCTCTTCTTTCTTCACAGCAAGAGCACACAACACAAAGGTGCTGGATGAAAACAGCAAGTCCCTCTCAGAGCGGCAGCCCGTAGAACACCTGTCAGAACCAAAGACTGTCGTTGAGTAGCTCCTCATGTATTTTACACACAAAATCAAAATGTGATGGTGACTGAGAAAAATTGCTCCAAGTAACATGCTTAGGTTTTTTTTGCTCTCCCTCCTTAATGTGAAAAATGAAGGGCTTAACTTGATGACACAGAACTACTCTGGAACTCTACACTGCTGGATTACAAGTTTATTTTTATCAATAAATATTTTTGTACTTCCTTGAACGATGTGTTTCACAATAGAAATTAACAGGGCTGCTGATGTGTGCCTGTGCCCTGGGCAAGCAAGCCCACTGCGAGGAACCTTCAACAGCACTGATGCCACAGGCTAGAATGTGTCACAGAGAGCACTGTGTACTTTCACATAAAGGCTTGCTGGCACAAAGGTGCATTCAAAGTATAACCTGGGCGAAAGAAAAATTAACCTCATTCCAGTGCTAAGTGCACTAGTTAACTGCTTTTTTTTAAAATGCAAACTTGAGAAAAGCAGTGTTGAATGTCTCTATGAAGTATGCACTGGCCCAACTCTAACAAACAGGTGGCTGTATCATGCTTACACGTGTCATTGGAGAACATACTTAGGGTTTTTTCCTGTGTTGCCCATGAAATAAATGAGACCACTGTCAGCCTGACCGTATCCTTACCCTTACTTTGGAAGTCTACAAAGTTTCCTTGTGTATCCCATAAACACTGACCATGAGAGCCCTGAGGTCGATGGCTAAAGCTACTGCTTTAGGAAGTCTATTCCTTTAGGCAGTAGCAATAAGTTGACGTGACAGGAGCCTCGCTGCCATGTTATAATAACAGAATAAAGCAGTGATTATGATCTGCATCTGAATCCTTCCCCATTGTCACTCTTTGGTATGAGCCATAAACCTCAGTGACCCAGCCCCTTGGCCTAGCATCTAAAGTCCTCACATTCAAGGCACCAGGATCGCCAGTTCTAATCCCGGCAGCTCCACTTCCCATCCAGCTCCCTGCTTGTGGCCTGCAAAAACAGTTGTGGACAGCCCAATGCTTTGGGATCCTCTAACTGTGTGTGAGACCTGGAGGAAGTTCCTGGCTCCTGGCTCTAGATCGGAATAGCAATGGCCGTTGCGGTCACTTGGGGAGTGAATCATCGGACGGAAGATCTTCCTGTTTCTCCTCTTCTCTGTATATCTGACTTTGTAACAAATAAAAATTTAAAAAAAAGAGGATCCTATGGGGGCTGACATTTATGGTACTGCAACTGCAATGCCAGCACCCCATTTTGGAACAGCCAGTTTAGGTCCAGGCTGCTCTGCTTCTGGTCCAGATCCCTGCCAACATGCTTACGAAGAGAGAAGATGGTACAAGTATACCTGGGTTCCTGCTACCCACAGAGGGCATCTGGATAGTTCCTGCTGAGAGCCGGGCTGTTGCGGGATCTGGGGAGTTAACTAGGTCTCCTGGTCACTCTACCTTTCAACTAAATAAGTGAAATTTAGAAAAAATCATACTCTGCCTACTCACTAGGGCTTTTGAGTTCATGTGTAGCTACAGCAGCCTTCAGTACTTGCAGGGAGCTGACTTAAGGATGCACCCTGCACTGGTACAAACAGCTGCAGATATTCAAGCCCCCTAATAAAACAGGGTTGGCCGATAACACACACACGCACACACACCGTTCCATCTACTTAGTCCCCTCCAGATTACTTATGATATAACGCCTCACATGACGTAAAGTTTGTGGAAGATAAAAAGTGCCTGGGCTTCCCACAAATTGCTTCAATAACAACACAGCTTTTGTTTTCCAAGTATTTTCATGCAAGGTTGGTTGAGACAATGATGTGGAACGCATGTATATGGAGGGCATTTGTATTCCATGTCACCTGCACTAGAAACAGCATTCTAGATGAGCAGGAGAGGCCCCTGATCAACTGCGCAACTAATGCCCGGCAAGTCAAATCTGGGAAGGTAAAAACATGGAGGGCCAGTCACACTGTCAGGAAGCCACCTTTTCCTTTTCTGCAGGTAAACTGGCACTAGGCAAAGAATCTTTAAATTGCTGGCTGGCAAGGAAGAAATCAGAGGTATGACATTTTGTGAACATTCTTTGAGATCTAAATTGTATCTATAGTGAAAGGGCTAGCATGGTCACTTGTCTACATACTGTATGTGGCTGCTTAATGCACTGCAGCTACAGTTGAGGTAAGGACTAGAGCTGCCACACCAACGCTAGGCCAAAGCAGAGAAGGCTCGCGGACTACTGCCTGAGCAGGTTAGCCACAGTTCCAAACAAGGCTATCTTCCTTCCACTCAAACAGGTTCCCAAGATGCTGCAACCACATTTGGTCATCAATAATCCCTGATATTATTAAAGGGAAGTAGTCAATCTGACACACCAAATTATAAAACTTTAATGTGTTCCTTTTATTATGTGCTTAATACAATTCCCCCTCACCTATGTGATCCATACAAATGGAACCCGTTACATTTTACAAATTAAAAAAAAAAATGCAGACATGTACTGTACTCCCTATTTTAGGGAGAAACTAGAGCTGAAAGTCAAAGAGGAATGATCACTTATTACCTGGTAATAATAACAAGTATTTTCCCAATCAGTTCGAAATCCCATTATGGTTTCCTGCTAGCTCCTAAAGATTCATTCAAAACCAGGAGGCTAACATAGTAGAGGGTAAGGTAAATTAAAGATGGCAAAGACGACGTATCAAGCACTGTGGCTTCAAGATTTAGAAAGACTGTTCCTTCTCAAAGTGCTGTTTTCCTCTGTTAAGAAAGGACTTTTCCCCCTAACCAATATTAAAGTAATGCAAAATTAATCTGTTCCTCAATGAGCAGATGAGTACTTCATTTAAATGTTCTGTACAGATCCCTGACGTTGCTTCTCCTGTCACTATTTAAGTGATGCATAGTCAATTGAATTTTTCTGCATAAATAGCTCTGTTCAGTCTGGAAACAACGTGGTATGATAGGACAGTCAACAGTTCAATAAAAATGCAAATTTCTAAAATTAAAATACTTTATCACACACACTTAGGCTTAGAAGTGTTCTCTCAACTTTTTTTTTTTCCTTTTTTTAAAAGAAAATCAGTGTTTTTCTTGAATGTAGCTATTTTTCAAGCTTCCTCTTCTTTCTCCCTGGTTCACAGTCCACATTTGAAATATCCATGGGAACGCTGACTCCTGGTATCTAAAGTAAATGTGGAAATCAGGTGATTTTAAAGTGTAATATAAGAAATATTCCTTCCCTTCCCATTGCCACTTTGAAGTTTAAAATGACGTAGGAATGGAGATACATAATAGGGATTAATAAAAGCTTCCCACATGAAATCATAATGGTTCTGACAGCAGACCTGCTCTCAAGAGATGGGAGGCATTGTTTGTAACAGCCTCCCCGGTGTCCAGTTCCCACAAGGAGAGCATGTCTGATAGAGCTTCAGGGGCACCAGGCAGGCAGGAAGGAAATGAAGAACCAATGTTTCAGGTGAAACACACTTTGTCTTCAGTGGCATAGATTTTAACACTCAAAGGGAAACAGGATTAGTCAGGAGAATGAGAAGATCTTTTGAGAACTTCAGAAGCATCTGAGGGTTTCCATGAACCATGGCCTAGGGAAATTAGGGAAAAAACAGGATTTCCTACGCAAATATTTGACTTCCACACATACAGAATTCCCTCGAACATTAAAATAGTTGCACTCCTGTCATTCCTAAGTCTGTACCATTTGTACCACCACAGTCTAGAAATCTGAACTTTGACCATACCTGAGGTTCTACCAGGGCCATTCGGATTTTCTGATGTTGAAGATTTGATGCATCTAACATGATTCTCACTTTAACTTTATCAAATACATGGAACACTGTATCTTCTACTTTGAGTGAAGGTATCTAAATAAAACACATTTATTGCTTTTAAGTGCATAATTGAAGTATCATTTATAAATTTTCAAAGTGTCTTCTGCTCCCCAAAAAGGAAAGGCATGAGAAATACTGTACCTCATCGTCATAAACAAGCCGTGGCTTTGGTTTATCCTTTTCTTCAAAAAACACTGTACCTTCTAAACCATACTTTGGAATTAACACCACGATGGCATTCTTTCTTACAAACAGAATATAGGCTTCTTCACTTACTATTCCTTTGCTTTTGAAAAATAACTGCAAAATAGCATGCAAATCTTTAAAGTAGACTTTACGATTTCAAAATTCACAATTTTTAAAATAAAAAGCAAGATTTCAGCCCCTTCTAGATTTACTAATAGGTAAATACCTGGGTATGAAAAGCCACTGATGCACGCTGGGCATACTGAGCCATTTTGTGCCGGAAATTCAGATTTTTACAGATATCTGCAAGCTTGTGTTTGTCCGTCAGCTCCGGGTAAGTACAGTCAGCTCCAATAGCCACGGCCAACAGCCGATGGACAATGATGTCTGCGTATCTAGGCGTGCAGAGAAGAATCATGGTACAATAACACTATATGGCCTTTAAAATGTTCTATCTTCTTTCATTTCAAAAGGGAAAAATACCTTCGGATAGGAGAAGTGAAATGTGTATATATTGGAGATGCTAATCCATAGTGATGAAAATCATTATCCATTCCAGAACAGAAATACACAGCTTGCATCATGCAGCGAGTGGCCAATATTCTTAGCAGGGTGTTTAGATAGGGGAAGACCGAAGACTCGGCCCGGTCCAAAGAGTCAGCCAAAGATTTGGCTGTATCGGTGTTGATTTCCAAATTCTGTGAACCAAGAGGAGGGAAAGAGCATCACATTAGCCTTTTCTAACTCAGAATCATCCATCAGGTCTCTGAAACATGACTAGCTGATGGAACGACTAATAGTGTTTTTGACTCCTATATTCTAGGCTTCTATTCTAAATACAGGAAAACTGGAAGTACACTGAGGAAAAGCAATTACTGTTCCGTGCAACAAAGCTTAAATTTTCTGAATGTACATCAAAATAAGGAGGCCTCAAGGCTGTGAACGAGCGTTCTACGAGGGAAGGAGTGTAGGCACACCAGTGTTACTTCCTGAGGCTGTTTTTTCTTTGCCTAATCTTTGAGGGGGTGCAGAAAATCAAAGCAGACCTGGACACCCCTCAACATCATCTGGGTTTCATTTGCAGGCACCTTCCATCCATTCAAAGCAGACAGAGAGGCCCAACTACAGGTCACTACAGCTCAGTCAGAACTGGGGTCTGATAAACCATTTCCCTATCCGAAAACGTAAAATCAACAGTTTTAAACCTTCAGTTCTCCCCCTGGTTCCTCATAAGAAAACAGAGAACAAGAGCAAATCCCCAAAAGATGAAGTAATTCCAGAGGCCAAGAAGTTGATGTGGTTCTGACATATGTGACAGAGGTAGGCATGCTACAAAAGTCTGCAAATTAGAAACCATCAACATCCTAGAGCAATAATGGCCTTGACGGCCAAGACTACTCCACAATGTGAAGATGGATTCTGGCCAGGTAAGACACAATTACCCCAAAGGAAAGGTCCACTAACCTGGGGCTGGCACTGTGGCATATTAGGCTAAGCCTGTGCCTATGGCACTGACAACCCATATGTCCTTGCTGCTCCACTTCTGATCCAACTCCCTGCTAATGTGCTTGGGAAAGCAAATGAGCACAGCTCAGATCCCAGGGCCCCTGCATCCATGTGGGAGACCTAGAGAAAGCTCCTGGCTCCTTGCTTCAGATTTGGTTTGGCTCTGGACATTGTGGCCACCTGGGGAATGAACCAGTGAATTAAAGGTCTTTGTCTCTCTTTCTCTCTAATTTGCCTTTCAAATAAAAATATTTTTAAAAAAAGCCTACCAGGGCTAAAACCTTACACACGCCAGGATTTCATATGGGTGCCAGTTCATATTCCGGCAGCCCCACTTCCTTCTAGCTCCCTGCTGGTGGCCTAGGAAAGCAGCTAAGATGGCCCAAAGCCTTGGGACCCTGCACTTGCGTGGGAGACACAGAAGAGGCTCCTGGCTTCGGATCGGCTCAGGCTGTTGAGGCCACTTAAAGAGTGAACCAGTGCATTGAAGATCTTTGTCTCACATTCTCTCTGTAAATCTTACTTTCCAATAAAAATAAATAAATCTTTAAAAAAAAATCTATTAGCCATATACAGGGGTATGCGGTCTTTTCCAAAGTTTGTTTTCTATCAATACAGTGAATAAACTTTCTTTTATGGATGTGACATAAAGAGGAGTTTATAGTTGAAAAACAAAAAGGTATGTGCAAATCTCAAAGTAAGGCAGCTGATAGAAATCAAGAAGATAGAAAAAACAGGAGAAACTTCAGTTATGGAAAATGCATTGTTTTAAAAACTACACATAAATTTCAATATATCCTTTTTAATTTATCCTCTGATTCCATCTTTTCCATGAACTTTCTGAAGTAGTCTCGTAAATACAAAAGGACAAAAGTATGGAAGAGCTCTCTGTATGTTGAGGATGCTGCAATGACTCAGGCTAGAGCAGCTTGCTTTAGCACATGTGCTCTGCAAAGGCGGTCACAGATTCTACCAAGCAGAGGACTTCCACACAGGAGAGGTGATTGTAGATCTTTTTTTCCCATCAGAAGTTACTGGTATAGTTTTCATCAAAACAGTGTAATTTTTATGGAGATGTGAATACAGTGTTCAGTGCAATGGCCAGGTCACCACCCCAATACAGATGACTTTCCAAACTGCAGGAGTTTACCTTGGATTTAGCTGCCTTAACAAGAATTTCATAATTCGATGGAGGTGGAGCAGGATGTTTCCGAAGAAGAGCATGTTCAGAAAATTCTTCATGAATTTTTTTTGCAACAGAGATATTGGCAAGTAACATAAATTCTTCCACCATGGAATTTGTTTCTCTATAAATGGGAAAAACAGTATGTTAATCAAAGACAGAAAATCTGGTCCTGTTACACATCCCATGTATTCACAGGTTCCCTTCTCTACCCAACGAGGTAAGCGAAGCATCCCCTGTGTAGACATCCATGCACGTGCACAGGCACGTTTCTAAGAACGTAACTCTCATTCCTAATCGCTCACTCATGCTCATTCTCTTTCATTTCCTGCTTCACTGTTAGCAACGTTATTATACATCTACTGTGTAAGTAAATCTTACAGGCTACAACACATTTTGACTTTACACTCAAGAAAATCAAGACACTTTACCAACTCCATTAATACCTAAAATATCACCATTTCGTTGTCTTTGATTGAGTCTAAAGAGTATTTTTTTAAAACTATAAAACCATAAAAATAACCTTTACTTACAAGAAATCCAAGTTATTTAGAGTCATACAATTTTGGCTTAAAAAATTATTTAATACTTAAAGAATTTACCAGGACAGCTTTACTTACCATAACAGTAAATTAAAGTTCTAATTTACATAAAGAAAGCAAACTCAAATGGAAACTTTTCTATTATATTAAATAGCAGCATTATATATATAAATAAAACTCCCCACAAAAAGATGTTTTTCGTGTATTTCACAAATCAAGAAAATATATAGAAACTATAAATCCTTATACAACTCCTGCATATTGGTTATTCACAAAGTGCATACTTGAGCTCCTTGGTCTGCAGATCTATAGGATCGTGAGTTTCACTGTCCATGTGGAATCGAACTTCTGGAGAAGAAAGAGTCAAAGCCCTGAACAAAGAGACAAATAAATCAGTCAAGCGAGCCAGTAACAGACACAAAATTCCATGAGTCGTTCAAAGGAGAACACGACCCAACAAGAGGAGAGCAGGCTTTAGGACAATCTGCAAATTTTGTATTATCTTTACAAATTGCTGGCTTTCTGTTTATTTTTTATCTGAAAGGCAGAGTTACCGAGAAAGGACAAACAGAAAAATCTTCCATCCACTGGTGTGGTTCCAGGTAGCCTCAATAAACAGTGCTGGGTCAGTCTGAAGCCAGGAGCCCAGCTGCTTTCCCAGGTGCATCAGCAGGAAACTGAACTGGAACAGCTGAGACTTGAACTGGCACCAATATGGAATATATGGGATGCCAGTGTCAAGAGAGCACGATACTACCACTATTGCTACCCTACCACACCAGTCTCCACAAACAGTTCAGCATTCTACAAAACCTAAAAATACAGGGTCAGCACTGTGGCATAGTAGGGAAAGCCATCACCTATGATTCCATCATTCCTTATGGGTGCCGACTTCAGTCGACCTACTCTACTTCTGATCAAGCTCCCCAATGATGTGCACAGGGAAGTAGCGGACGACAGCCCTTGGTCCCTGTCACCATGAGTGAGAGATAGTCCCTGGCCCATCACCCATTTTAGAGATCTGGAAGAAGCTCCTGACTCCAGACTTGCCCAGCTCAAACTGCTGCAGCTACTGGGTTGAAAAACCAGCAGGTAGAAGTTCTGTCTCTTCCTCTCTCTCTAATTCTGCCTTTAATATAAACAAATAAATCTTGAGAGTGAGGGGGGAAACACTAAACAAAAATGCATTTAATGGTTGACATTGTGGTACAGTAGGTTAGGCTATCACCTCTGGCACCAGCATCCCAAGATATGGCCAGTTTGAGTCTGGGTTGCTCAGCTCCCAGCTTCCTAGCAACACATCTGGAAAAGCAGTGGAAGATGGCCCAAGTGCTGGAGTTCCTGCCACCCACACAGGACAGCTAGATGGAGTTCCTGGCTCTTGCAGTCATTCAGCGAGTCAATTAGCAAAAGAAATATTTCATTCTGTGTCTATCTCTTTCAAATCAACACATCTTAATAAAATAAATCTAAATAAATCTTATTAAACTAAGCTAAAAATAAAAACAGAAAAGCGTTAGACAAGAAAGCATTTGCTGCAGAAGCAAATCAAAATTCCTGTGCTTCTATGGACTGAAGTATTTTCTGTACTGAAAGTATAAATTTTTAGTGAGTGACATACATCTTTTAAAATCACTATTATTTACTTCTACAAAAAAGACACCTGGCAGATTTTACTGACTATAGAAACTAAATTGTTGTAGGGGACAATGGAGAGGGGGCAAAAGGAGCTGCATGGAGAAGCTAGCTGCAGCAGAAAATGCGCAGTTCAAAAGTATATTCCACACAAACCCAAGCAAGAGGGCAGACAGGCAAACCAGTACCACTAACGTGTCATAAGGACTGTTAGCACTAAAGTACTGTGTCGGGTAACATAATGCTAAGTGATTTCAAGTTTTCAGTTCTCATTTGAGAAATAAATTCCACAATGTAACATAAACCTAATGTTTCTTGCTACTGTAACACTACTTTCAGACAGCTCCAGATCAATTTAGAACTTACAAGATAAAAAGTGTACCATGGCATTGCAGCTACAGTCCCGTTTCCTGGTTCTGGACTGCTGGCCTTGCTCTGGTCCAGCCATGGCCATGCAGTGATTTGGGGAGTAAACAAGCAGATGAAAGATGTCTCACTCTCCCTAACACTCTGCCTTTCCAACAAAACAATCAATCTTCTTAAGAAAAAATAAATTGTCACCCTTGACCTAACATTTGGTAGAATTCACAGGTTATTTTAATATTACGATTCATGAGTCAAGACACATCCTAACACATATTTTGAAACGTACCCATTTTCGATTCTTCTTCTTTTCAGGATTTTAGCTAGTTTGTTTAGTCCACGAAGACTAGTGGTAATGTCATCATTCATGGTTGCTGAATCAATTCTCATCTGCGCCTCGGCATATGTAAGAGAAGCCTAAAAAAGAAAACAGAGTTCAAATGCTAAATCTGGCTTACTAGTTTTACCTCTACACAAAATCCACCATTTCAGAAAACCCAAAGCAGTAACAAAAGAGAAACTCTTAGCTATACAATTCTTGACACACACGATTATCTCTTCTCTGAGGTGCTATAAACTTCAAACAGGTAAATGAGTGGTTTAAATTTTAATTGCTTTTACATTTCGGTTGAAATGTGCAATATTAAGCTCATGCTAAAACAAAACAGGAGGACAGGTTAGAACTTGGCAACTATCAAGTGAAATCCTTTTCAGCTGACCACCACACCGACTCACTGGCAAGCACTTAGGAAGGAAGACTGGAGGGGCCAGATGGCGTGTCTTACAGGACATCTACTGAATGTCCGCAAGCAATCCCTAGAAATGGGACAAAGCAAAACAAAACAAAAAACAACTGAGGCAGTCTTTAAGGGGACCTGGAGAAGAGCACCAAAAAAATGGAAAAGGATAAGACAATATATTTTCTCTTTGTCTGGATTTCATCTAGCTGTGCTGGAACCAACTATGATATGTAACATCACTTGAACAAAGATGAAGACGAAGGACACTCACAGAAACAAGCTGAGCTCCAGGGACTCAGTGACACAGGGTATGAAACCCTCTGCTCAGTCTGTCATACACACAACATATGTTACAAGAACTAATTTCTGACAATATCAAAAAACTAAACACACAACAGAAAAACCCAAGATTTCGCACTGCAGAAAAATTTTGCTGTAAGTCAAGTTTAACTTTTTCAACACAATCTCAGAAACTGTTAAAATCACCACAGATTTTAAACATTAGAGATAAACATGAAAACTAACCTTTGAATTAATGACACTTTTGGTAAACTTTGTTCGTAAGATTTCGGCATTATGGTTCATTTCCCAGATACAGGAAAACGCCAGCCTATGGTGGGAGAGAGACAGGATCTGTTACAAGGATTGTCTAAAAAAAAAAAAAAGATTGTGATATCTTAATGAAAAATGTACATAGGGCCCAGCGGCATGGCCTAGCAGCTAAAGTCCTCGCCTTGAACACGTCGGGATCCCATATGGGTGCCGGTTCTAACCCGGCAGCTCCACTTTCCATCCAGCTCCCTGCTTGTGGCCTGGGAAAGCAGTCGAGGACAGCCCAAAGCCTTGGGACCCTGCACCCGCGTGGGATACCCAGAAGAAGTTCCTGGATCCTGGCTTCGGATTGGCATAGCATAGCATCGGCCGTTGCACTCACTTGGGGAGTGAATCATCGGACGGAGGATCTTCCTCTCTGTCTCTCCTCCTCTCTGTACACCTGACTTTCCAATAAATAAATAAATCTTAAAAAAAAAATGTACATAAATACCTGTCAACGTCACATCTTAGGGAACATAAGTTAGAGCTAAGCAACTCTGGAACCATGTCAATTCTCTGCAAAAGACATAAACACAGGTGGAGTCCCAGATTACTCAGCCATATCCATTAATCTACCTCCAGGTCTATTCTGAAACAGCACTGATCAAACAATGAGGGGAAGCGATTTTTGTGACTAAGATATCGAAAACATACAAATAAATGTAAATTAAAAAAATAAATGTCTGATTTTAGTAGTGTTTAGAAGAGATTGTCACAGAAGGAAATAATCAAATAAAGCTGAGCACTGCAGGAGACTTGAGTCCTCTGCTTAACATAAACAGCAGGGTGCTAGAAAAATACTTCAGAGAGAGAGGGGAAGTTTTATGGAGAAGAACTACAAAGAAGACCTCTAACAGTGAGCCTAGGAGAATAAGTTCTGCTTTCCCTTTCACCACTAAGTTTGTGGGGACCTCACCTAAATAAATGCTATGCGCATAAAAAGAATTCCAAAGCTGGGGGCAGTCTTGCAGTGCAGTGTGTTAAGTCACCAAGTGCAACGTTGGGCACCCTCCACTGGAGCACTGTCCTGGCTGCTCCATTTCTGAAACAGCAGGAAGTAGAGATGGCTCAAATAGTTGAGCCCCTAACACCCACCGGGAGATCCAGAAGGAGTTTTGGGCTCCTGCTTTGGCTTGAATTAGCCCCTGCTGTTGTGCCTACTGGGGAGTGAGCCAGCAGATAAGTTTCCCTTTCTCTCTCTTCCAAATAAACAAATAAATCTTTCTTTAAAAAAGAAAGAAAGCAAGCAAGCACTTAAAATCCATTACCTTTTCACAAAGGTATACAGTTGTTCCTCTTCTGGCCGATTCTTGATCTAATGCGTTTCCTGGTCTAATAAAATGGCTAACATCAGCAATGTGAACCCCTACCTTCCAAAGATCAAAAGAAAAGCATGTAAGTATGCTTCATTAGGTAGATGTGCCACTGAAGTTTTAATAACAAAGTCAACTAAACTGACACAGGCATTTCAACCCCTGTCACATACCCATTCATTTCTACAGCTTTAACTGCTCTTCCCATAAATAAAAACTCCCAATTTCTACACTGGGCTGCCAGAATGAATTCACAAACAGAATTGCATTCAGGTACGGCCTCCTCCTCCGTGTACCTCCAGGTTTCCATTTCCCAGTTCTCGGCAGTGCAGGGCGTCGTCGATGTCCGTGCAGCCCGGGGGGTCCACGCTGCACACACACAGGTGCCGCAGGTCTTCCCGGTGCCTCATGTCCTAGCAAGATGCCACATCACCAAGAAACTCACTATCATTCAAGCAGCACAACTGCGACATACTCTTCCGATAGCAGCTTTTCTTAATGACACTCACACACAATCATATGTAACCAGAGGTCCTAGAAACATCTGACATTCAAGTTTTCCAATGTCTTTCCTCTAGAACAATTTATGCTTCAGTGAAGAAGCAAATGTTTCTTTCAAAAAACCAGAGTACTGTGCCTAACTACGCCTTTGGGGAAGAGGAGGGACTGGGGCTTTCTGCAGTCAGGAGGAGGCATGGAGGCTCCACGAGGTGAACTCACCTTGTCAGTGATGCTCCAGGGCATCTTGGGCAGGAAGCTGAGCACAGCCTGGGAGAAGGGCTGATGGGGCACGTCATGCTCAAGCAGCAGAACTTCTGTTTCAGTCTCTTTCTCGCCAACATCTCCTAAGTTTTTTACAAAATGTCCCTAAAAACAAATATTAGAAAGGCATATTTACAGCTAGTTGACACTAAGGTATATACTTCTTTCTCCAGAATTTATATACCAACCCAGTATTTCTAGAAGTTACTCTATTGGCTTCTTAAAAGTAATTCTTTGGGGGATGGTGTGGTGGTTTAGCATGGTATTCCTCAACCTGTGGTGTCACCATCCTATGTGGGTGTTGGCCAGTTCAAGTCCCAGCTGCTCCATTTCTGATCCAGCTCTGTGCTTATTCTGGCCTGGGACCGCAGTGGCAGATGGCTCAAGGCCTGAGCCCCAGAATCCACATACGACATCCAGAAGCAGCTCCTGACTCCTGGCTTCAGATTGGCTCACCTCTGGCCATTGCAACCATTTGGTGAGTGAACAAAGAGATGGGAAGAATTCTTTCACTGTATTTCTCACCCCCCCCCCCAACTCCACCAAGTAAAACAACTAAATCTTTAAAAATTGTAATTATTATTTAGTAAATTAGAGCTGAAAAATCGAAAAACTTCTCAAGTGACTTAAACACACTTCACAAAGACTCAGATCCTGCAGCACAAAGAATCACTTTCCATTAACTCTCAAATTTAAAATATGCTTCAAACACCTTCAAAGTTTGTTAAACAGAATGTATTATCTGTTTAGGAGTCAACTACTCCTTTCACAGTCGATAAGTCAAAGGTACTTCCCTGAAAATTTTGGTAAAACCACAAAATATTTGCAGTAATATTTCAAAAACTTTTCAAATTATATATGCTATTTTTTAGGTAACTATGAAGTAGCCCTAAATTTTGGTATAAACCTTATGTAAAAATAGATCCCATTCCCATTAGAAGTAGCAATGTCACCCATAAATTATTAATATTCTAAACTTAGTACTTTCAGCTTACATTTGGATATCTGGAATTTCTAGGCCACCCATCAATAGCAACAATAATTCTTCGTCCTTCCAATGTAGATGCCTGTCTGGTTTCGATCCGAATGCGAGGGATTCTCTTATCAGCAGGGGTAAAGAGATGTCTTCTTGACTAGAGGGAATTACGTGAAAAATATTTTAGACATAAAGACCTAAGGCTGGCGGCAAAGAGGCTGCTTTCCCTTCAAGAAAATGTTGTTCACTTCTTATGACAGTAACATACTCTTCACTCACCTCCTTAATGTCAGACTTGGAAAGCATACCACAATACGGTCTCCAATTCCTTTTTATTATTCCTACAACTCTACCTGTAGGCTTTAACATTTTTTCACTGACGGTAGTCTTAAGCTGAGAAATAAAAAAAGGAAAAAAAACTCACTCATTTGCTTTCCTTGTAAGTATACTGAGGTAATTGCTCTTCAAAATTAGAATACACGCACAGACACATTCAGAAAGTAGATTGTGATGAAAACTACAGAATCCTGATGCTTCAAAATTCCAAGCAAAGAATATACCAAACCAAGCTATGGAAACTACTGCACATTTCTTAAAAAGCTATTACAAAAATAACGAAAGCAAACAAAAATAATTAAATGTGACCAGAGCCCCAGTTTTCCCAGGTTCTGGTTGCAGCACACACCTAGCTCTGAGAATGAGCAGACGTGGGTTTTAGGACCATTTTGCACTGAGGGGTTCTGGCCACTACTTCCTGGGGCCCTTCATTCACTCAAAGTTCTTTCTTACCCCAAAGAAATATTTATGATTAGAAGCAGCAAAAAAGACTTCATGATATTTTCTAACATTCTCAAAGGACTCACTCCCCCAAAATTAAAGCTAGCACCCCAAGCACTCACTATAATACTTAGCATCATCATCAAATAAGGACACAAAAGGGCATTATTCTAATGGCTTAGTTTGCAAGAAATAACTGAAAGCATTTTTTATAATAAGTTTTACAATACGGAATAATTAAAAACTGTCAAAAATAAAGGTCCAGAAGTACATTATGCTAAAGGAATTCTAGCATTTCATAAAAGCATGTCAGGAGACTTAATTTTTATGTACAGAAACCTCGCTGTTTCTGACCACGTATGTGAATGTCATGGATTTCTAATCCCATAGTCAATTCAAATCTTTTTGTATTTAAACCATTTAAACAAATCAGAAATTAAAACTACTTAATGGGAAAAAACCAAATATGTATGATTCATATTAAACCTATAGAGCTTTAATTTCATTTAGTCGATATGAAAGCAATGAAACTTATTTAACTCTCAAGAAGCTGACATGTTAAATAATGCAAACTTGCATAAAATTAAAAAGCCTGCCTGGCTTCCTACCATGCGCTCTCTCTCCTCTTCCTTCTCCATATCATCTTCATTCTGACCTTCATCATGTAAAACCACAGAGGACGGCGCCACCCACTGGCTCTTGGGCAAAAGCTCCACAGCCACGATGTCTTCGTGAACAGCTCGGTTTAAATGTTTAAGTCCTTGCAAGATTATCTGTTTAAAGCAGCAAACAGCATGTGCACAAGTATTTTTAATGGCAACAGGGAAAGGTTATCTAACAGAGTTCAGCTATACTTGGACATCACACAATCTTCATTTCTTTTCTTTTTCTCATTACTTGAGGACTTATTTTCAGTTTTCTATGGGGGTGGTAGAAGCAGAGAGATTGTATTTGCTGGTTCACTGCTCTAACAGGTGGAGGCAGACTGCCACGTGTGCGTGACAGGAAGGGCAATCAGCAGTGCAGAAGGTGCTTTGACACTGGGATGCAAGTGGCCATGGCATCTTCAACACTGCATCAAATGCCAACCTCAACACTGCATGGTTAACAGAATTTTTTTTCTACCATAGCAATTTCCTAAACACAGTAATTAATCCTATTAGCAATAATGAATTCCCATACAACTGCCTTCAAGTTAGTAAACTAGCAAGTTTAAATCTTAGACTTTAAAACACTGTTAAAGAACATAGTAAACGCAACACTATCCACGCGTAATTTGTTTTTTTCCACACTTGCCTCTTTATTTTCTTCAGTGTCTCCGTGAATCCATACTGTAGCTTCTAAGTAATTTTCCCTGCTGGCTCTAAATGTTCCTTGGAGGTATAGCCCGGATTTTATACCTTGTTGTAACTTACTTAAGGGAAGATGCTCAGAAAATATTATTTTCCCACTTTCTATTTCATTCTAGGAAATAAACAGATGAGTTAAGCCTGTTATTTGTTTAGCTTTTAGCCATCAACATCACAGCCACATCACACACAAGTACCAATGACAGAGAATACGGCCCATCTTGTAAACCAGTGTTAGAGCTTCCTGTCATGTCAAATATAACAGGGTTTGGGCACAAGTATCTCTTGAACGTTTGCAAGGTGAATATGTAATTATGAACTGAGTTTTAATTTCTGTAAAATTGTCATATGTAACTAGCCACTATACTTATTTTTATCATTAAATCTGTATTCCAAAAATCATCCCAATCTTTTAAATCTTCTCATTTCTTTTTAGTTTTGTAAACAGCTAGTTAAAATCAAGCAGGGATGAGAGAAACGTTATAGAGACGGAACACGCATATGACAGCCTAACACTCGGCTTGTGCAACACCAGCTGCTCTTTCCGGTCACCACAGCCATCTGCAGAGCAGAATTCTGCTAGCGTAGCGACCTGATCTCACTCAGGCCCTGTAACCATCCTAGGATCTTATTATGGCTACACAGTTTATAAACTCCTGTTAGGAAATGAAGGTACAGAATATAATTATCAATACAATCATCGGGGTGCACTCCTCCTCAGACCAGCTACTGTAGTGACCCCATCATTCACCTCAAGTCTCTAATCTTGCACTGCGCGGCACACTGACAGCAGAGTGGTGTTATACACACCATTTCTGATCACACTTCCCACATCCATACTCTCCTATACCCTGATCTCCTCTCAGTGTGCCTCAAGACTAGTGGGCAGTTCTTTAGGGTGAAAAGTTGCTGAGTACAGAATGACTGCCAGGTCACCATTTTTCTGGCTCCTCCCCTTCTGTGCTACCTCATCCTGGGACTCCCTGCTTCCTTTCTGCATCTTTACTTGAGCCTCTCCTCATTCACAAATCGGTCACAAGTTCCATCTGTTTTCTCACCACACAAATAGGGCATCATCAAAGGGCCAGGCCTCACTCATATTTCTGGGAATATAGCTATTTTAGAAAGCCAGTTCATTCAGCAATAAGCCTGTTACAGCTACATATATGTACACGTGTGTATATGTATATACACACATGTGTACATACATACATGTATACACATGCATGCACATATATATGTCAAATCCAATGACTGTTCTATTGCAGGCTTACCAAAAATGTTCTAACTTTTAAATGTGAGAACTATAGTCTAATATTTCAAAGGTGTTTTCACTTCTCAAAAATAAAGAAACTGAAACATACCCCTTCATCAGACAGACAAGCAAGACGGTCTACAAGTTCAGGGTTAGCAGTTAAGCTTTTTATATATTCTTCACCTGAAAAATAAGTTTACATCATTCTGGCAAGTAGTTTCTTTGCTAGAAATGAACAAATAAGCATAATCTTGTCTGACATTATTTTTTTTGTGAAGAAACAATTGTTGATGTGCTCCTGTGGTAAGAGGCAGTTGGTCCACTTTAATTATGAACTTTTACTCCCAATGTCAATTGCAAATGACAAGGGGAAAGCCAAGCTTTACTAGGAAACTCCAGCTGGAAAACACTGCAAAGTTAATGCAAAATAAAGGAAAATCACAGTCATTTTAGACTATGAAAATGTTAGGTGAATACTGACATGCAGATAATAAATTCTATATGTATTTGTTAACATCCACTAACTACTTCGACCTTGTCACTTACAAGTGAAAGCTGGAATCCCTTCCTCTATAGCTTTCTCTTTGTTCTTCCTGTCATTGGTTATGAAGATAACTTGCAGCTGATTGTCGGCTGACAATTTCTTTAAGTGTTCGTTGTACCATTTTGCTGCCACTCGAATTGCTCTGTCATTCCTGTCATTTGCATTCTCTCCCTGCTCTTGTTCTACGTAGGTTTCTCTAAAAGGAAAGATTTTTAAAATGACACATAAAAATTTTAGAACATAAATACTCAGCAATCACTGCAGTGAAAAGTCAACATTAAATCCTTTTTTGACTGGATTGAGATTCATACTAGCTAAAAAATAAATGGGATCACTACTTGAACTTTTAAGACAACAATCTGCTGGGAAAAAATAAAACTATGTAACTAATGGGATGGTAAAAAAGCTAATAACATTTTATTGCATAAAATGAAAAATGCAAGATCAGACTTTATTCTTTAGGTTGTGGTATTAAATAGGGTGTTTGCTGAATCAAGCTATAATGTACTACAGAGTACAATGTACTGATGAGATTTCATTTGAACTGTAGAACAAAAGCTAATTCCTAAAAGCTACCTAGAATGTAGGGGCCAGTGTGGTAGCCTAGCAGCTAAAGTCCTCACCTTGTAAGCACCAGGATTCCATATGGGCACAGGTTCTAATCCTGGCAGCTCCGCTTCCCACTCAGCTCTCTACTTGTGTCCTGGGAAAACAGTCGAGGACGGCCCAAAGATTTAGGACCCTGCATCTGCATGGGAGGCCTGGGGGAAGTTCCTGGCTCCTGGCTTCTGCTCAGTTCAGTTGTAGCCACTTGAGGAGTGAATCATCCGATGAAAGATCTTCCTCTGTCTCTCCTCTTCTGCTTTGGGATTTCAAGTAAATACCAGAAATAAGACTGTGAGTTCTTTACTGAGTATGTTCTTTAGAACAATACTGAAATGTGTGAGATATAATAAAAATGAAAAACTGGAGGGCAGGCATTGTGGCGCAGCAGCTGAAGCTGGCTTCTTCTATGGGCGCCAGTTCCGAGTTCCAGCTGCTCCACTCCAATTCAGCTCCCTGCTAACGTCCCTGGGAAAGCAGTGGAGCAAGCCCAAATGGTTCGCCATCCATTCAGTGTACAATGCCGACGGCACCTGGCTTTGCCCTTACTGTTGGTGGCCACTGGGGAATGAACCAGTACATGCAAGATGAAGATGTCATTCCTGCCGAAACTTTCTTCTTTTTTTTTTTTTTAAGATTTATTTGTTTTTATCAGGAGGTCAGAATTTTTCAAAGAAGCAGCTACAGAAAGATCTTCCATCCACTGGTTCTCTCCTCAAGTGGCTGCAATGGCCAAAGCTGAGCAGATCCGAACCCAGGAGCAAGCAGCTTGTGGGCCCTGTGTGTGCAGCATCCCAAGGCCTTGGGGCATCCTCACTGCTTTCCCAGGATATTAACAGAGAGCTAAATCGGAAGTGGAAACCCATAGCGGATCCCATTGCTTGAAGGTGGAAGGTTAGCCAGTTGGGCCATGGCGCCAGCCCCATAAGTCTTTCAAATAAATGAATCTTATTTATAATAGAGAAACTAGTTATTATTAATTAGTGATTTTTAGTTAGCACAAGCTTTTAAAATTTGCACAAACTGATGGATTTTCATTACCAGAACTCTCCGCTCTAACACAGGTTTGTTTTTGTTGCTACTGTTTGTTAATTTAAAAGGCAGATTTACAGAGAGAAGGATAGAGATCTTCCATCCGTTGGCTCACTTCCAAAATGATTTACTTCCCAAACAGCCAAAGCTGAGCTGATCCAAAGCCAAGAGCTACCTCTGGGTCTCCCATGTGGATTTAGGGACCCAAGCACTTTCCTGCTGCTTTCTCAGGCCACAGAGCTTCACGGAAATAGACTATCTGAGACTTGAACTGGCACCATACAAGATGCCAGTGCCTGTAGGTGGAGGATTAGCCTGTTGGGGCAAGGTGTCTCAACAGCAGTTCATAATTAGGGAACAAATTCCACAGGGCACGCCTGCCTAAGTCTAGACACACTTTAAGTCTGCTAAAACTCAGCAGGGAGGGCTGCTTGCTCATCTAGTCCGTAGAGCTCAGCGAACCTACTAAGGATCCTAAGGCAGCCTTGAACATGCAGCCTGACGTGTATCAACAGTGCCAACACTAAGAAATAGTAAAACACCACTAACACCTACCAGAGATTACTAATCTGAGACAATAGACAGTATCGTTTCCTAAGCCTATACATAAAGCATATTTCTTAATGCAATCTTCTTCAACATGTTTTAAGATAGTAATCTTTGATAGGCTCCTGAAAAAGGAATCACCTACATATTTTATTTACTCTAGGAATGTAGGCAATTTTCATCTTTTAAGGGTCTTGTTCAACTAATGCTGAAATCCAGTTCAAAATGGAAACATTTTGGGGGACTAGTCCCTGCTCTACACCCCAGCAGTAGTAGACGGCTATTCAACGCTGCACCCCACCCGGGCTCAGGGGATTTGAGAGAGCCACTTAGCACTGTTTGCTGCACAGCTACCTTAGAACGAAGTATCCTAGGAAATACACCGGTTAACTGCCCACAAATCCCTCCCAGGAACGCTTTGCCGAGTTTAGCTAACCCTGCCGTTTCTGATATGTAGTCTGAGTTTGCTCCTACCTGTGGTGCTCGTTCGTAAAGGTATAGAAGTGCTTCTCTTGGTTGCCGGTCACGTCTCGGATTCGCTTATACACCGGGGCACTCCGGTTCCTCACTTCTTGCAGGACGGTCTGCAGCACGATCACGTTGCGGATGGCCGGGTCCTCCAGAACATCAATCTTGGAGAAGGGAAAAAGAAAAGTTACATTTTTCCCCTCTATCAACTGTAGACTGTAATCGTCAAAGAACACGCTGTCAGTTTACACAGTATCCCAAGGAACTGCTTTGCTCCCGGAAAGTGACAACAGTCACTCCAACCTTCAGGTCTTTCAGAATCAACAGACCATTCCCCAAACTTCCCAGAGATAAAATAAGGCCACTTAAAAAAAATAAATAAAGGAAAAGAAAAACACGCCGGCCCACAGAGTTCTCGTTTGTAGGCACTTACAAGCTGCCTGGGGGTCGCAAGCTGGAGGCCACAGAAGCCCGGGTCCCCGGCCTCCAAGCACTTACAATCTAAGGCAGAAGAGACACCAGGAGTTAGAAGCTTGGCCTGTGTAAAAGCTGACTACAAGAACTGAGAAACAAAAAGAAAACACCACCGCCCAGGGCCAAGCCCCGGGACGGGGGTCACCCTGGAGCCTGCTGCCTCTGCTCCCCTGGCCTTCGGCGTCCCTGTCCGTCCCTGCCCTCCCCCGGTGCAGGCGCGGCCGACGTACCTGGTGCAGCAGCACGTTGGTGTCGGGCAGCAGGTAGTGCGGCTGCGGGCAGAGGCTGCTGGCCGGCTCCTGGGGCCGCGGCTCTAGCACCGGCCCCTCGTGCGCCGCGCCGCAAGCCGCGCACCCCGGGACGCCGCAGCCGATGTCGTCCCGCAGGTAGTGCTCGCGCACGATCTTCATCACGCCGCCCGCGCGGGTCTTCTTTAGGAACGTCTTGGACTTGAGCATCTTGCCTCGCGGGGGAGAAGAGCGTCACCCCGGAGAAACCTAGGTCCACCCCACTTCCGCAGGTGCCTCCCTTCCCGCTCCTGGACCGGAATACCTTCCCTCTCGCGAGACTTGACAGCGGTTGTCCGTGAGGATTGGCCGACAGCTCGGAGCAAAGGGGCGGAGCGCGGAGCCATTTCCGCCCGACGTCTGACTCCAGCTCCCACCATGCCCCACTGCCCTCACCCCGGGGGGCGGGCGCGAGGCCGAGTTCCGGCGGCGAGGACTGGCTTCCGTCCTGGTCCGAGTGCGGAAGCGGTTGTCTTGGTTACGGATCCTAACGGTTTGCGGTGGACCGGGCTGCTGACCCGAGGCGCCCCGGTGCCCTCCTCGTGTCCGCGGCGGGCTGGGCCGCCCGGAGCTCTGCAGGTACCTTGCAGCCCGCGGTCTCCCTAGTCGTCCCGTCGGCTTCCAAGTCAGGGGTTACGCTTCGCGCCCGCCGCGAGGGCCAGTCTCTGGTCTTTGTGGTGCAGAGAGGATGTGTGTTCATTTCACCTTCCCGGCTCACCCTGTTCTCTTACTGTGGCTTTTAAATCCTCTTCACATACATCATTCCTTATCCTGAAAATTTTACTCTATCGTGAAGAATTAAAAAAAAAAAGAACGTTATTCAAATTCTTGTGAAAGGAGTGCTAAGTTCTCTTTCGAATGCGTAGGTTTTTCGCTCCCACCCCCGGCTTGCATTCTGTGGCCTCGCTAGTCTACTTACATTGCTATTTTAAAAGTCTCCAATGCCGTCTCCTTGCCTGTAGAGTAAACCAGACCCGTTTTAGTTGCAGCTCATTCTTGCTGTTTAAATGTGTGTGTGTGTGTTTGGGGGTGGGGACTCACCGTTTACACGCAGGCTTGGCGTGTGTGTGTGTGTGTGTGTGTGTGTGTGTGTATGTCTGTGTCTCTGTGTCTCTGTGTTCTGCTTCACACTTGCTGCCCTGGGCTCCCCACCACCTGCTCCACCTCCGTCTGCCTGGTGCCTGTGCCGGCCCTGGCCTCCCTTGGGGCTCCCTCCCCGTGACCCAGGAGAAGGGATTTCCCGTGGATTACAATGTGCATCGCTTTAGGAGTGACATTCTCAGGTACTACTCTGTCTGACCCTTTTCTCGTACGTTTCTCTGCCTCCTCAAGAATAAGATTCCTGCTGCCAGGAACTGGGTAGTGTTCTTTGTTTAGTTTTGTTTGTGTTTGTGTCTTGTCTTGTGGTGTGAAAGGACTCAGTTTGTGGCAGGACTGAGTGAGTCTAGGCTGATTTGAACAGTAGTGTGCTGTGATCATCTGTCCAAGATTTGAAGTCCTCCGACTTGGCTTGCAGTCATTGAAGGGATCTTAAATAGTGTCCTTAATGCACTGTGTGGTTTCTAGACTTACGTTTCAGTACTCCTTAATAGATTTTTTTTTCTCCACAGAAGAGTAAAATAGACTTTGAGAAGAAAACGGACCTGTAATAAGAAAAAAAAATGTCTCGGAAGATTTATAAGGAGCCCAAAAAAGTGAACATATCTAGTTCTCTGGAATCTGAAGACATTAGTTTAGAAACAACTGTCCCCACAGATGACATTTCCTCATCAGAAGAGCGAGAGGGTAAAATCAAGATCACCAGGCAGCTCATTGAGCGGAAGGAACTGCTGCATAACATCCAGCTGCTGAAGATAGAGCTGTCCCAGAAGAACATGATGATCGACAGTTTGAAAGTAGACCACCTTACGAAGGTAAGCGCGGATGCGGCTGTCTTGTTGTGTTCTGTATGCTCTGCTGCCTTTAAGATACAGACTGGTAGAGGTTTAATTTAGGTGTAGAGTGTGAACTGGAAGTGATACTGTTAACGTTTCTCATCTAGGCTGACCTTTAAATAATTTGAGCATTGAAAGATGGAGTGACGTAGAGGTGGGCAGAGGTGAGTCACTTCTGTAAGCTCCATTTTGAAAAAAAAATCTAGCCTGTGTGAGATGTTTTTCTTAAATATATTTCTACGCTGTTTATTTTCTGCTTCATCAGAACTCAACCTGATGGTGACTGGTTTGGGGTTTGATGGGGAGAATAAAGATCATGATTATACTATTGAATATGTACTGTACTTCGCGGTGGAGATTTGCTTTCTTGGATACCTTTCTGTTTGCTAGTTACTTTGCCTTGTCTATTTGAAAGTTACTGTGTGAGCAACAAATTCCAGTTTTCTGTAGCAGGTGGTATCTGCTATGCAAACGAGATGTCCTGGCCCTTGTTTTCGTGGCTTGTGTGGTTGTTTACAGGGAGTTCTGTGTAAGACCTGTTAGACCTGTCAGTAGCTATAAGAAAATACAGCCATTTCCCAAAGACAGGAGACAGTTGTTGAATATTAATACACAGTGCTTCTGAAAAACTCTGTTGTGTGCAATGATAAGCCCTCCATCTTTTTTCTTGGTCCCAGTTCTTCCATCTTGCGTTTCATCCCTTGCCTATTCTGTGTATATTAACATACTTCAGAGTTCTGCTGTAAGGAAACGAACAAACAAAAAATCTTGAAAATACCCTTTCTCTCCAGGACAGTGTCTGAAACTTCAAGGTCTGGATAAAATTTTATAAGTTTTTTAGGTAAGTTTATAAATATCCGTGACTTAGTGACATTGAGGAGTGCTTCTGCTGTACGGGACGCTGTTTGAAGAGCTCTGTGTGTGCGGGGGCATTTAAAGCCTCACCGTGACTCAGTAGCAGCTCCCTGATCCCCGTGGTACTGCTGGGAGAGGAGGCTTCACTGAGCCAACGTATTCCAGCAGTCTGATAGAGTAGGTTACTAACTGCTCCTTTCTGTCTTTTTGGGATACTATAGCAACATGGGACAGAGTGAGTAGCTTAGTTTAAACAAGGACATTATTTTGTCCTTTTTGGGAGGCTAGGAGGTTTCCAACAGGATACCAGCACGGTCAGGTTCTAGTGAGGCTCTCTGGGTCTGCAGGCTGCTTGCTGTGCCCTGACATGGGGTCTTCAAGGTACAGCTGTTAACCACTGATAAGGTTTCACCAATGTATTTAATCGCTCTCCCAGAGGCCCCTTCTTCCTGTTATATCACATCGGTGGTTACAGTTCAGTATAGGATTTTGAGGAGGACAGAAACACTTAAGCATGCATCAGGGGTCCAGTATTATGGCATAGTGAGTAAAGCCTCCACCTGCAATGCTGGCATCTCATGGGTACCAGTTGATATCCTGGGTGCTCCACTTCCAGTTCGGCTCTCTGTTCATGACCTGGAAAAAGCAGATTGCTCAAGTGCTTGTGCTCTTGGCTTCAGCCTGGCCCAGCCTTAGCCATTGTGACCACCTGTGAAGTGAGATTAGAAGGAAGACCTCTGTCCATAGGACTGGCTTTGTTTGATATTTGTCTCTGTTAATAGACTGTGAAATCCATGAGGACAGAAATGTGTTTGTATTCACTTTTGTATCTCCAGCACGTGGGACAGTGTCTAGTGTGTTTTATGGGCTCAGCTATTTATGAAATAAATGGCTGAAACCCGTTTTGCTTTTGATAGAACAAAGCCAACAGGTGGTTTGCTAGTACACCCAGGTGCATTCCGAACAAATGGAGGGCAGGAGTCAAGTGGGATGTGGACCTAGAAAGTCAGATACTGTCTGCAGGTGAGCCTCCCCATGCTTTCTTTCAAGTGCGTTGTATAATCCTACTTGATAGTTTATCAGTACCTCCAGTGGTGTCGTCCTGTCCCCACCCCTTTACCCAAGTCCCTTCTACTCAAATGGACTGCTACAGTTACCACCTGAGTATTTCCACCTTTCAGAATCTCCTTTAATACAAATCATTTGATGACACCTTTGGTACCCGGATGTGGGGAAGAATGCCCTGAGGATGTTATCTGAGTGGTTTTGATAGTTGTGAGATATTGTCAGCTTTGTTGTACTCAGAATGAGAAAATCTTTCCAAGGTCTACTAACTTAATGCACCTACAGACCGAGGAATATGTTGCAAAGCTTGGCCAGGAGTTGTCCAACCCGTTTTGCTTTCTATCTTCTGACGAGGCATTTGGTATCCTCTGTTGGCCTAGATGAGCTGACTGTAATGTCCACTGTGTGCATCTGGGCATGCTGCTCACTGCACAGGCATCAGCAATTGAGGAGACCCAGGCCTGATACCTGCACTCCAAGGTTGGAAAACAAATACTGTGATTTTACCTGTGGCTGGGGCCTTGGGTGTGGTGATCTAGTGGAGGAGTACTCACCCCAGGTGACTCAGTTTTGACTCTTACATGCACCAGCTAGTTCAGGGTTAGATTCAGTCTGTGACCTGCACCAGCCAGTACATATAATGGTGGATACAGCCACCTGGTCAATTCCACCCCAGCACTATCTCTAATGCTAACTTACAGGTTCTGTGACCTAGCCTATCCCAGGCCACCACAGTTCTGCTTCTCATGCACACCGGTGTGTGCCCAGTCTGGGGAACCCTCTATAACCATCACCAAACCCTCCCCCAACCCCAGTTTCCACACAGTGCCAATTTGTGCTGCAGCCTAGCCCATCTTGGACCAGCCCAGCCCAGCCCACATCCCATCCAGTTCTCATGAACACCAATGAGTGCTGCAGCTTTTCTCAACCTGACCTGCCCCCAGACCTGGCCCATACATATGCCGATGGGTGCTGTCACCTTATCCAGCCTGGCCTTGGCCCCTGGTTCTCACACTAACCAGCAGGAGCTACAGCCTAGCAGGGGAGTGCCCATAGTTCTTCTGCAACGCCTACTACCAGTCCCAGATCTGGCACTTGCCAGGATGTATTGCAGTCTAATATGACATGACTCATACCCAGTCCAGTCCGAGCACTTGCCAGTGGGTTCTGTGGCCTAGTCCAGCTGGCCTCCATCCGTTGTGGCTCTCAAACACACACCAGTGGATGTAGCAGCTTAGCCCACCCTGGCCCACCCCCAAGGCCCAACCCACATGCCAGCAAACTGATGCTACAGCCCTGCCCAGTCCCCACTCTCAGGCTCACCAGTGGAAGCAGCAGCCCCACAGAAGAGATCCTAGAGTTCCCCTGCCAGGCCCAGCTCCCTGCCCAGGGTATTACAAGTGCTGTAGCCACTCTGGCATGGCCTGCCCCAGTCTCAGCATTTGCCAGCTGGTACTGCAACCTGGCTCAGCCCAGTCTGCCCCTAGTCCCAGCTCTTGCTGCAGCATATATCAGCCTAGTCCAGCCTGGCCCACACCCAACCCTGGCCCTTATGTGAACTGACAGATGTTGCAGCCCAGCCCATGCTGGCCTGTATCCCGTCCTGGTTCTTGCTCATGCCAGTGTGTGCTGCAGGCTCCCTTAGCCCAGCCTGCCCCCTGAACCAGCCCATATATATGCTGATAAGTGTTGACATTATGAAAAATAAATTTCTATTATCAGACCAGTAGCATAATATTTCGAAGTCATGGAGAGGTAAATTATTGCTGTTAACATAAATAGCTTTGTTTTAAGTGACTGAGCTTCCTCGCATTGGAAGCATTCAAGTCAAGTATCGTGAATATTACAGATATTTCCTCTATGAAGAGAAGTTGAGGTCTGTCTAGGTTTGGGTACTAAGCAGTTGGTACCAGAGACTTAGAAAATACTGGTTGCTGGTCACGCAGGTGTGGGAGCGGCTTAGCGAGATAAGATTTTTTTTCCTGGTATAATACGAATCTGAAAAATAAATGTTTCAGACACGATGAGTTACTCTTTGATAGAAAGTCCAAGCTTCTTTAAATCTTCTCCTCAACTGTGCAATATGTGCTTTTACCATCAAAATTATAAAATGACTGGTCTACTTCCAAGCAATAGTAAGAAGAGGGTATTGGGAAAGGGGCCACATACAAAATGAGGCAATCCCCTATGAAGAATTTTCTCAGAAACTCAGGCCATTGATATCCGCCAGCTGGAATTATGTATCATGCTACCTGCAAGGAGTGGGAAGCTGAGAAGTGTAAGTTTGTAACTGGACACATTGTTGTCATTAATGCAAAGTTATATCAGAAAGAAACTTAATTTGGGGAAGCAAGTAAGAATGTTTTCTACTCATTATGAGATGGTTTTTTAAGAAGATAGTTTTACGTAAACCCATGTGATCTGACATTTCTCCTGCCATTATGACAGCAGTATCAATGTTTATGGATATGTGTTTTTATTATAGTTTGACCATGTTGATTATATTTCTCCCTGTCTAAAACCAGAAACAAACAGGTGCAAGAAAACTAAAACAGCATTAATTCTCACTTTCCACTCAGAAAATTAAATGGGAAAATTAAGTGTAGCATAGCAGGTAAAGCCAGGTCCCAGGTGCTCCACTTCCAGTCCAGCTCCCTGCTGATGTCCTAAGAAAAGTAGTGGGCAATGACTCAAGGAGTTGGGTCCCTGCCAGCCACACGGGCGACCTAAATAAAGCTTAAGGCTCATGGCTTCAACCGGTCCTATTCCTAGACATTGCAGCCATCCCAGGAGTGGGTTAATAGGTAGACGATCTCTCTTTGTCTGGCTAACTCTGACTTTCAAATAAATGAATATATTTTGAGAAAATATAGCTACTCAGGCCTGGCATAGTAGCCTAGCAGCTAAGGTCCTCGCCTTGCACATGCCAGGATCCTGTATGGGCACTGGTTTTGATCCTGGTGGCCCTGCTTCCCATCTAGCTCTCTGCTTATGGCCTGGGAAAGCAGTCAAGGACAGCACAAAGCCTTGGAACCCTTTACCCGTGTGGGAGACCCAGAAAAAGTTCCAGGCTCCTGGCTTTGGATTGGCTCAGTTCTAGCTGTTACTGCTAGAGCTGAATCATCAGACGGAAGATCTTCCTCTTTGTCTCTCCTTCAATCTGTATGTCTGAATTTACAATAAAAAAAAAAATGTGTGTGTGTGTGTATATATAGAGAGATCTACTCAGTCCAGACCTCCTGATACAAGAAAGTGGCTAGCTTGTTCTTTCTCCCCATCTGTTGTTACCTATATTCCCTTCTGTATTCTTCCTTTCCTCTTTATTCTTATCTGTAAATTTGCAGATACCAAAACCTAATTTTCTTTGTTCCATGATATAGATTTGTCAGTTTCTTATTTCCTGTGAGGTAAAACAAGTTGCCTTCCCAGCTGCATTATCATCAAGTTAAGGGACTTAATTTAAAAGTTAATTGAAATTATAAATCTTGAAAACTTGGAAATATACTTATTTTTTTAATTATTATTTTAGATGACGTTTACATAGTCGATCAGGGTGAAGGTTCTAGGGTTAAGCTGAAATGGGTGTGATCATTGTTTCCAAGCTTTCTGTTCTTTCCATTTCTGGGGGGAGGGGAGAGATAAGGAATAGGCCATACCCAGCCTCCCTACCATCCCAGTGCCCGAGGATGGGGAAAGGCCACCTGATAGCATCTCAGGTCACAATGTAACGCATTGCTCCGAAGGTTCTGCCCAGTGCGTGCATTAGTTCTGAAATGTTGTCGATCTCGCCAGTCTGTGGATGAGGAATTCCTTCCAATGTCCTTTGGCTAACACCTTCTACCTTATAGTCTCCAATCATCCAGATATTTGCTGTCATTGTTTGGCTGGGGTAGTTGTTCAGGTGTTCTGTTCTTCATTCTCTGGTATGGTACCAGATGTCCTCTGCAGGTCTCAATGAGCTACCATATCCTCCATGTGCACCAAGGTCTGCTGTCCAGCACTCCATCCTTTACACTGAGGAGTGCCAGTTCTCCTAGTTGGGCTCATGGATCTGGGCCAAACTGGACCCACCACCCCTGGGTCTCACGGATCCAGCAACCACCTCGCTGTTGGGCCCAAGGGCCGCTCTCTCCCTGGGGCTCACAGATTCAACACCCCCCACCCCCAGACCAACATGGCTCATCTTTTCTTGACATCCATCATTGGGTAGTTCGATCCAACCTGCCCCCAATACCAGCTTGTGCTAGTTGGTACTGTAGCCTAACCTTGCCCAGTCCCAGCTAAAGTGTGAACTGGCTGGTGGAGCGGCCCAACTCAGCCCCTCCTGCAGCCCATTCTGGTTCTCAGATCTGCCAGTGGATGCTATATACGGGCACAGCCTGGCCCACCCTCTGACCTGACCCACATGTATTCTGGTGCATACTGTAACCTGATCTGATGTGGGCTGCTCTTTGCCTTGGTTTTTGCGCTTACCTGCAGGAACTGCAACCTGACAGAGGAGTTCCCCAAGTTCCTCTAACTGGTCTCCTCCAGTGGTAGATCTTGCACATACCAGTGGGTACCTGGCCCAGGTTGACTTTGTCCACCTCTTGTCCTGGCAGGAACGGTGTCCTGTCCCAACCGGCCCATACCTTTTCCATTTCTTACTGTTGGGTGTTGTAGTCCATCCACACCTGGTGCATCCCAGACACAACTCTCACATGGTTCACAGGAGCCAAGACCCATCCCAGCCCATTCTATGCCCCCTCTCTGACTCTCATGAGTACTAGTGGGTGTTGGAGTCTAGCCCAATCTGGCCCTCCCCATACCCAGGCCACATCTGTCCCGAGGCAGATGGCAGCCTTGTTCAGCCCAGGACAATGCACCGATTTTGACTCTCACATTCACCAGTGGGAATTCCAACCCAGCTGAGACATCCCCTTAGCTCCCCAACCAGGCCTATGCCCAACCACGGTTCTGGCACATGCCAACAGGGATTACTCTTCCATGTAGGTGAGCCCACATGTCCCCCTGCAGATTCTGTCCCCAGAATTCACTCATATATTTGTCAACTTGATGGCCCAGCCTCACAGTACCTGTTCCCTTCTCTGACACTCTGGTGGGTTCCATGTTGTAACCCTTCAAATAGAGTGGCCTTGTCCATGGAAGTTCCAGAGAAGTCATTTCTCACATGGGCTTGAACCCTAAGGTCCCTGCTAATCCCCACCTGTGCCATCTCCCAGACTTCCTCTAAACGCAGACTTCCTCTAAACGCACACTCCCAGGTTCCCCAGAGCACATTGCTGGGCTGCCTGCGGGCTTTCCCTGGGTGCCAGCAGGCTTTAGACAAGGATCCCAAGCGTTGAGCCTGACCTGGCCCGAGGGTCCAGCACCTATGCCTTCGGCTCAAACTCACCTAGGCTCCTGCACATGCCAAGAGCCGCTCGAGAACCACCCACAGTGTGATTGCTGTGGATAGAGAAATTTCTTTGTTTGTTTCTTTTTGTGGATGGAGAAATTTCTTGGGCCTTGAGTCTAGACAGGCTCAGGATTTGCCCATTACTTGGCAGCTGTGGACAGAGCTAGGATTCCACGCATTGAGCCCCCAGCCTCAGCAGTGCAGCTGGAAGGATTGAGCACCCACACCTCCAGCTCAGACTCAGCTAAACTCCCACCTGAAAATATAAATATTTTAACAAGTAACAATACTATTCTTCTTATGCTATGAAATAGTTCTATAGAATGTTGTTTTATAATTAGTGGAGTTAAGACATTTGTCAAAACCTATTACTTTGGTTATAGAAGTAAATATGAGAGTTCTTTTTTTACAGCAGTCATTTTTCAGTGAAGGCCTTGATTGAAAAGCAGTTAAGCACGATATCCTCAAGGGCATGTGCAAGTCATGTAACAAGAACAAGAAATACCTGTGTGTATGTGTGTATTTGCAAATACAGCTTGTCAAACCTTGTTTTTGTTCTGTTTTAATTGGAAAGTCAGATATACGGAGAGGAGGAGAGACAGAGAGGAGGAGAGACAGAGAGCATATCAAATGTGATTCAGGCTTTTGTTTTATTCTGAATGTCAGAAGATGCAAAGAATACAAAAATATGTGTGCTTACTTTTTCATTTTATTTCGAGTATTTGTAGCATTACCTGTGTGATAGTTGAAGTTGTAAGTAATTAGATTCATGGATCTGAAATACAAACAAGGGTCTGGTCTGGAAGTAGTTAAACGAGCAAGCCACCAACATGTAATTCCAGTTGCCAATAGGTTCTCCATTATCGTGGGGTAAGGAAAAAATATTATATGTAGAAATCATTTGTGAGGCAGTAGTTTCAAATCAAAGAAGAAACACTGAGAGAACACAACTATCACAACAGAGAAAAAAACTCAGTCTTTAGAAAAATGTTTTAAGCAACCATTTAAAAAATATTTATTATTTTGAAAGAGTTGCAGAGGAGGAGAGACGCAGAGCTTTTGTCCACTGTCTCACTCCCTGAATGGCTGCAGCATCCAGACCAGGCTGGCCAAAATCAGACCCTGGAACTGGGTCTGGGTCCTGCTTGAGCAGTATCAGGAGCCCAGGTTCTTGGGCCAGCTGCGGCTGCTCCCAGCATGCCTGGGAGGCCCATGTTGCTAGTGGTGGGTCAACCTGCCCCACAACACTAACCACTACCACAGTAATTTTTAAAATCAGAGATTTTTCTTTATGATACCTTGGAAAATTAAGTACATAATTTGTCCTTTTCTCTTTAAGATTGAAGAATTGGAAGAAAAACTTAATGATGCCCTTCACCAGAAGCAGCTGCTAACACTGAGGTTAGACAACCAACTGACTTTTCAGCAGAAGGATGCCAGGTAAGAAAAACTTAAAAAAGCAGCACTATTTATTCAGCAGTGAGAAGTAGTTTCATTACTTGTTTATGCATATGATTGTAAAATAAAATAGAGAAGTGTTAAGTAGAAAAAGTAATTTTCACAAACTATTTAAAATAGATTACTTGTTAACAATACACAGAGTACAATCAGTGTATAGAGAAAGCAAACTTTAATGAATAGAAATAAACCAGAAAGTGACAAAGGAAGCTGTTTAAGCTCACCACCACTTAAATTGCTGTCTGGATTAACCTTTCTTCATTTACCATAGACACATGCTGTCTCATGGTGCACTCGTCTTTCTTTTAGCTTGAACTACTTTCTGTGTTACTACTATGTTTTGCCCAGCTCATCTGGAGTCCATTGTTTACCTTCAAATACACCTATGTCATTTGTCCTTATTATATCTCTGTAGTATAATTAAAACTTAATAAACAATGAATTGTGAATAGATAATGTGTTGTTTCTATAAAAACTATCAATGGATCCTTTAAGAAAGATTAAAAAAAAATGGATCTGGCACAATAGCTAAATTCTTACCTTGCAGATGCCAGGATACCATGAAGGAGCCAGTTTGCCCCTGGAAGGGTAGTGGAAAATGGCCCAGGGTCTTGGGATCCTGCACCCTCGCGGCAGACCCAGAGGAGGCTTTTGGCTCCTGGCTTCAGATCATTACCCCTTCCGCTGTTGTGGTCATTTGGGGAGTGGGCTAGCAGATGGAGGATATTTAGGTCTCCTCTCTGTAAGTCTGATCTGCCTTTTAAAAAAAAAAGGATTCAAGAAAAATAATTGACTACAAAAATCATCAAACTAAATGTAACAAGATCTGAAGATTGGGGGACCCAGAGTGGTGGCCTAGTGACTAAAGTCCCCGCCTTAAATACGCCAAGATCCCATGTAGGTGCTGGTTCTAATCCCGGCAGCTCCACTTCCCATCCAGCTCCCTGCTTGTGGCCTGGGAGAGCAGTCGAGGAAGGCCCAAAGCCTGGGGACTCTGCACCAGCACGGGAGACCTGAAGGAAGCTTTAGATTGGCGCAGCTCCGGCTGTAACGGTCACTTTGGGAATGAGTCATCAGTCAGAAGATCTTCCTTTGTCTCTCCTCTTCTTTCTATACATCACACTTTGCGATAAAAATAAAATAAATCTGTTAAACAATATTTGAAGATTGTGGACAAAAAATCAAATCTACTGTTTACATCTTCTCAGATTTCTTCTAATTTGTCTCAAGTTCCCTGCCATACTAGAAAATTTATGCTTGGCAATTAGGAACAATAATTGTATTAGTATTTCATCACTATGACATTTTTTTAAAAGATATTATTTATTTGAAACCCAGAGGTACAGAGAAAGAAAAAGAGAGAGAAATCTTCTATCTTGGTTCACTCCCTGGATGGCTGCAGCAATGAAGCTGGGCCAAATCCAGGAGCCAGAAACTTCTTGTGTCTCCTCCATAGATAGCAAGTCCTCAGACGCTGGGGCCATCTCCTCCTGCTCTTCCCAGGGCCTTAGCAGGAGCTGGGGCAGAATGGTGCAGCTGCAACACTGACGATCCGACGTGGGGTGCCAGCATTGCACGTAGTGTCTTTACCTGCCAGTCCATGATGCTAGCCCCTCCTGTGACATAATAATTAACACGAGTACTTAAGAAGGGAAGGAGATTTATTTCAGTTCATGAATCACAGTGCAAGACCGAGTGAGCCACATAGACTGCCTAGTGAGTCCAGAGCATGACAGCAGTGGAGTATGCACAGAGTAGGAATCGCTTGGCAAGCCAGGAGGCAGAGAATAGTAGCCTATCCTGAGTGAGGGGCTTATAACTAACCCTCTCTAGAGAACCATCTTTCTGAAATATACCCCCAGTGATCTAAGACCCTCCCACTAGAACCATTTGTAAGTTCTCTAACAGGATCAAACCTCTACTTGCTTAGTACCATCTGTTCTTGACTTTGTGGCTTAACCATCTGCATGAGTTTGAGAGCCACATAATATCCAAACCATTGCGATCATTTACACTGAAGAAGAAGGCTTACTTGTCTGTAAATTAAAAATCAGGACTATAAAAAAATGCTTATTTCTCGGCCCAGTGTGATGGCTCAGGGGCTAAATCCTCATCTTGCAAGCGTTAGGATCCCATGTGGGTGCCAATTCATGTCCTGGCTGCTCCACTTCCCACCCAGCTCCCTGTTTGTGGCCTGGGAAAGCAGTAGAGGACAGCACAAAGCTTTGGGACCCTGCATCTGTGTGGGAGACCCAGAAGAGCCTCCTGGCAGGCAGCTCAGTTATATCCACTGTGGCCATTTGGGAGTGAATCTTTGGATGGAAGATCTTTCTCTCTGATTTTGCTTCACTCCATAAATCTGGTCTATCTTTCCAATAAGAATAAATAAATCCTTTTTTAAAAAGAATGTTTATTTCTGTGTTTTAGCAGTAAATGTGTAACGTGGGTATCTTTTTCTCTGGTAAAGCATTATGGATTGATTCAGCTGCCACCTGTAATGTCAGAATCCCACGTGAGCCTAGTTCAGGTCCCGTCTGCTCCACTTTCGGTGCAACTCCCTACCAATATACCTGGAACCCAGTGGGGATGGCACAGGTACTTAGCCTCCTGCCACCCTTGTGAGGGAACGCAGTGGAGATCCAGGCTCTTGGCTTTGGCCTATCGCACATCTGACAGTTGAAGCCATTTGTGTGTGAACTGATGGATACATGATTCCTGTTTCTCAGTTTCTCTCTCTCACCCTTCCCTGTAACTCTGCCTTTTACATAAATGAATAAAATGTGTAAAAAATGATATATTTTTAATGGGGGCCCGGCGTGATAGTCTAGTGGCTAAATCTTCGTGTTACATGCACCAGGATCGCATCTGGGCATCAATTCATGTCCCAGCTGCTTCACTTCCCATCCAGCTCCCTGCTTGTGGCTGGGAAACAAGTAAAGGATGGTCTAAAAGGCTTGGGACCCTGTAAGACCTGGAGGAAATTTCTGGCTCATGGCTTCAGATCAGCTTAGCTCTGACTATTGCAACCACTTGGGAGTGAATCAGTGGATGGAAGATCTTTTAACTTCTCTCTGTATATCTACCCTTCCATAAAAATAAAATAAATATAAAAAATATTAGTTGGCCACCTATTAGCCATTGTCATACTAAATCAGTGGATCTCAAACTTTAGCATCTATCAGAAACACATGAAGGGCTTATTTAACATGATTACTGGGCCCCACTTTCAGAAGTTTTGATTTTGAGTGTGTTCTGAAATTTGAAATTAACATTTCTGTAGATGTTGTTAGTCTAGGACAATAGCATAAGAACCTCTGTTTAGGTGTGCTGCACTAAACATTATCAGCTTGGTGGAGCTGAAAGAACAGTTATGAAGCAATTGCAATAATGTTTTCACTGGATGATGCTGGTAAAAAGTGTTGGATTCTGAGTATGTATTTTGTTAGTTTTTTTATTGTTGTTATTTCCATGACATAGTTTTGTAGATATAGGGGTTCCACATTTTCCCTCCTTTTTCTCTTTCTCTATTGACAGTAGACTTGATAGTGAATGTTGATAGATTAGATAAGAGATTTAACAAGGATTGCACTAATACTTTGTCCTGAATAATTAAAAAGTGGAATCTAACCAGCTAAGGTAGGAGAAGCCGGAGTAGAAAGAGCTTCTGAATCAAGACCGGCTCTTCAGGCCTGTGCAGTGGCGTGACTTCCGTCCCTCTGCAGTCAGCACCTGCGTCCCACGTGGGTGCCAGTGTGAGAGCACCAGCTGCTCTCCTTCTGGTCCTGCTCCATGCTGATGGCCTGGGAAAGCAGTGGAAGACCCAGAAGAAGCTCCTGCTTCCTGGCTTTGGATTCACTCGGCTGTGGTCATAGTGACTTTCTGGAGAGTGAAATAGTAGATGGAAGATCTCTTCTGTGTCTATAAAATTTTCCTTTCAAAGAAAGATAAGTAAGTCTTTAAAAAAAACAGGGATTACTTTTGAGGTGAATTGTCTTAAGAGAATCTGTTTTGACCCATGAAAAGTTGCATCTGGAAGTACAAATCTGGGGGCCATTAGGATGTGGGCAATATTTAAGTCATAAGAGTGGATGAATTTCCTGAAGAAATGAATATAGACAGAGAAGAACAACAAATATTCCAACATTGACACAAAGGAGACAGAAAAGTTGTCATGGCACAATAATAAGGTGAAGAATTTGAAATCCTGGAAGGAAGTGAATCAAAGGAAGGAAAGATCAGCTCTGAGAAGTGCTATCACTCTGTCATCATTGAAGAAATTGAGAACTGATCATTGAGGGGCTGGCACAGTCTCTCAATTAAGAGTCTCATGCTCTACTGACTGAGCTAGCCGGGCACCTATAGTCTCTCAATTCTACCTGCAGTGCCAGCATCCTATAGGGGCACCGGTTCATGTCCCAGCTGCTCTAATTCCATTCCAGCTCCCTGCTTGTGGCCTGGGAAAGCAATGGAGGGTGGCCCAAAGCCTTGGGACCCTGCACCCCCACTTGGGACACCCCAAAGTAGCTCCTGGCTTTGGCTTTGTGTGGCTCAGCTCCAGTCATTACAGCCATTTGGGGAATGAATCACCAGAACAAAGATATTCTCTCTCTCTCTTTCTCTCTCCCTGTTTCCCTCTCTCCCTGTCTCCCTCCCTCCCTCCTTTTATAGTCTGTAACCCTGCCTTTCACATACAAATCAATGTTTAAAAATATTGATCCTTAGCATTCTAGATGGTATTGGTAACCTTTGGATTCCCATAAAGAGGGTGGAAACTTGGTGGGCATGAGTGTAAGAGCAGATTGGATACCTCTTGTGAGCTGTGCTTCTCTGGGAGGAAACAAATGAAGGGTCAAGAGTTGTACTCTTGTTTATAATAGTAATAGAATGCTTATCTGTTGATGGGCGATGTGATACCCCAGGGAGATCAGCCCTTCTTGCTCAATATCTTTGGGTAGGCAACTAACAGTAACAATATCGTCAATAAACCTGTTTTTGAGAGTGATGACTACATGGAGATTGCTATTTCAAAGCCTCATTGATCAGATGAATACTGTGTAAGGCAGCTTTTCATTGTGACTAAAATATCTCTGTGCCAGCACTGTGGCATAGCACGGTAAGCCTCCACCTGTGGCATCTGCAGCACATATGGGTGTTAGTTCAATTTCCAGCTGCTCCAGTTCTCATCCAGCTGCCTGCTGGTGCACCTGAGAGAAGCAGCAGAGGCTGTCCCAGGTGCTTGGGTTCCAGTACCCCCATGGGAGACTCTGAGGAGACTCCAGGCGCCCTGCTTCGTCCTGGCCCTGTCGCAGCCATTACAGCCATTTGAGGAGTGGGACAGAGGACGGAGTTTCTCTCTCTGTCTCTCCCCTGGCTCTTATCTTTCAAACACGCACATACCTGAGATGCTACTTCGACAATAAAGGTTGCTTGGTTTCCAGTTTAGAAGCTCATGGGCCACAATCTGGTAACTCAGCCTTGCTAGTGACAGCAGGAAGTGGTGGCAGCTGCGAGGAGAAATCAGCCCAGGAGAAGGCAGGAAGTGCAGAGGGGCACGGAAACACACCTGTGCTTGACAGTGGGCCCCTTCAGGAACTGTCCTGAGGGCAAGTGTGTGCTGAAGATTCCCATGAGGCCCAGCTCCCTAGTCCCAAATTAGGTAAAGTTACCACCATTAATCCACTAGCATTCATCCATTAACCATTATTAACATAAGGCTTTGCTATAAACAACTGCATGAGTTGCTATGACCAAATCCTGCTGAAGCCATAACAGATAATTTGTGGTAATTCAGTATTGCCAACTCAAAGAAATATTTCTCTTTTTTTTTAAACAAAAGATTTATTTATTTTTATTGGAAAGGCAGATGTACAGAGAGGAGGAGAGACAGAAAGATCTTCTGTCCAGTGATTCACTTCATAAGCAGCCGCAACGGCTGGAGCTGAGCTAAGCCGATCCAAAGCCAGGAGCCAGGAGCTTCTTCCCGGTCTCCCATGTGGGTGCAGAGTCCCAAAGCTTTGGGCTGTCCTCAGCTGCTTTCTTAGGCCACAGCAGGGAGCTGGATGGCAAGTGGGGCAGCCAGGATTACAACCAGCGCCCATAAGGGATCCTGGGCATGCAAGGCAAGGACCTTAACCACTATGCTATCGTGCCGGGCCCCAAAGAGATATTTCTTTTTTTTTTTTTTTTAAGATTTATTTTATTTTTATTGGAAAGTCGGATATACAGAGAGGAGAGAGAGAGGAAGATCTTCTGTCTGATGATTCACTCCCCAAGTGAGTGCAATGATCGATGCTATGCTGATCATTGAGGCCAGGAGCCTCTTCCGGGTCTCCCACGTGGGCGCAGGGTCCAAAGCTTTGGGCCATCCTGGACTGCTTTCCCAGGCCACAGGCAGGGAGCTGGATGGGAAGCGGGGCTGCCGGGATTAGAACCAGCGCCCATGTGGGATCGTGGGCGTGCAAGGTGAGGACCTTAACCACTGCGCCATCGCGCCAGGCTCAAGATATTTCTTGAAGTACATTAATCAGAGATAAATAAAAATTAAAAGGTAGGGTCTGGAAGCAGATACATAAAACTTAAACCTTATGTAGAAGAAATGTATAGTTTCATAATTTGCTTTTCTACAAGTATTTGTTAACATAAATATGTTTTGTGCCTATATATTTGATCATTTGTATAAAGCTGCTGTTTGGTATTTAACTGGTTAATTAAACAAACATTTAAGTGGAGCCAAAAAATACTTTTGGACTTCTCATTTCCTAATGTTATTAACTATCAACAGGATCCGTGAGAAAAGATTTTTAATGGTTGTCATAAATTCTCTCCTAATAGAAAATACCAAGAGCTAATGAAACAAGAAATGGAGACCATTTTAGTGAGACAGAAACAGCTGGAAGAGACAAATCTTCAGTTACGAGAGAAAGCTGGAGATATTCGTCGGAACTTGCGTGATATCGAGTTGACAAATGAGCAGTATATGAAACTAAAATCTTTTCCTGAAGATCAGCTTTCTATTCCAGAATATGTATCTGTGAGTAGCTTGTATTACTAACAACATAAAAGGGAAAGCCGTGTGTATTTTGGACTAAAAATTGCCATATATGTAGTGACCAGTCCTTTTTAAATACCAACTGACAAAGCTGTTTTGTAGCTGCAATCTAAAGATGATGGCAGTATGCAGAAATCTAGCTTTTAAACGGCCTTGACCTTTCTTCTCCGAAATCTAGCTATAAATAGGACTCTGAGCTTCATGGATGATTTTATCATGAGCTAGTGATTCGTAACACTCTCAAACTGAAAGCTTTTGCAGATAAAAAGCATTAGTTGTTTGCTGGGATGTGTTACATAGTGAAGGAGAGTGGAGCTGGTATGATTATTAAAGGGACGCAGTGATGGAGAGCTTTGTGGGAAGACATTGGCTCGGGTTCGCTTTGTACGTAAGGAAGAGGTCACAATGTGATGTGTCAGTGCACGGTCCAGAATCTGGATTGCAATGGTGGTTATGTAAACGTACACTTGGGATTTTTATCTTGGCAGAGTTCTCAAATTTTTGGTGTAGGCATCCCTATACACTCTAAAAATTATTCAGGGCTCCAAAGTGCTCTGTCATTATTAACTATATTAGAAATTAAAGCAAATTTCTAAACAACAGAATGCATAAAAGCACATTTCATGATGAGGACCAATGATGTCATCACATATCATGTAGCCATTAGTCATTAGAGAATGAATAGGGGCAAAAATGATATTTTTTAAAGATTTATTCCCCCCAAGCTGTAGGCAATGGCTTAGTTTGCATTGTACCTAGGCAAATGTTACACTGCTAGGAGAAATGCAGCTAATAACTGGCGGGCATGCTAGAACTGGTCCGTCAAATTTGTGTTAACTACACCAGTGTACCAACATAGTCATCTGTTCTATTTAATTTTTTGAAGATATGTGGTGGGGCTGATGCCAGCACAACAACAGATAAGGTCTAGAGGCCTACACATGAGTGTTCCTGGGGCCTGGGTAGGCTGGCAGGGTCCCAGGCTGCACTGCACACTGCGGAGAACCTTGCCAAGCATGGGGAGGGCGGTGGTTGGGTTGCTCAGGGAAACAGGTCTGGAAGGAGGACATGACAAGTGAGGAGTGACTTCTGGGCGACTTCCACCAACCCAGCTACTGCACTTGTGGGTATGCAAGGGGGCTGAGACAAGGTGATTTAGAGGAGGAAAACTGGAGGACCTTTTGGAGCCAAACCAATACACCCAGCCACATGGGAGACCCGCGCTGAGCTTGTTGGTATCAGCGCTGCTTACCAGCACACACAAAAGCCATGGCAGGGAAGGGGGAGCCTGCCTGGTAGGGCTTGACCACAGTACCTGTTAGTGAGTATTGGGGCGGAGGGTGGATCATATTATGCTGGGCCATAACACTAACCAGTTCATGAGAAAACTGGATCTGGGAGCAGGTTCTGTGGGGAATCGCCACTGGCTTACACCTGTGGGACTGTCACCAGCTGGTTTGTTCACGGGCTAGGGTGGTGATGGGCTATGACCATGGAACGCAACAACACTCATGGATACTGGGGTTGGAAATAGACCAGGCTGGTCCAGGCTGTAGCGCCCTCAGACACATCTAAGAATTGGGTATGGGATGGGCCAGGCCACGGCATCCACCAACATACACAACAGCCAACACTGGCGGGCAGACGGACAGGTAAGGACCTAGCACCCATTGGCACTTATGAGATGTGGGTCTGGAGTGAGCCTGGTGGGGGAATTTGGTCAGCTCCCCTGGTGGTCCATCACTTCTGCTGGTGAGCACGTGAGTCAGGGCTAGGTGTTGGTCAGGCCAGGCAGGGCTGCTTCATTTGTCAGCAGATGAGTGGGTTGGCTCTGTAGGAGTAAAACTTTGAAGCACCAGGCAAAACAGTAGCACACTTGATGTGTTTAGGAAATTTGCAGACAGTGTGGAATGGTCAGTAGGAAGTAAGAGGGATGCTGGACTGTCAAGGGTTGCTCTCTGAGTTACTGATCGTCTGGCCTTTGAGGTAACCTGACTGAACATTAATAAAGCATTAATAAATTACTAATGGTTAGGGTTAATTAATGACTATTTTGTTTTAGTTTTCTAAATACTTCCTTGTATTGTGATAAGTAAATACTGCAAACTGGTACATTTTAATTGTAACTTTGATTTCCTGACTTGTTTTTTGAGGTTCGGTTCTATGAACTAGTGACTCCACTAAGAAAGGAAATACTTGAACTACAGACGAAGAAGAATGAGCTGTCGGAAGAACTCAGTGCAAGCCAAGGCCGGCTGAAACAGCTCACAGAGGTGCGTGGTCTGCTCACTGCGGAGACGAACTCTCCACTGTTTTTCACTGCGGAGTTCAGGATTAGTGAGGAGAAATAGAAGAAGCAGCAGTAGATGATTCGTTCTGTGTAGCACTCATTGCATACGTAGCGTCCCCTGGGTTTCTCAACCCTGAAACCATGGGTGGTAGGGTAGGGTCTTAGGAGCTCACTGAAGGTACTGTTTCCACATTAATGACAGGTCGGAAAATTGTAACTAAGGGGTACTGACTGCTTCCATTTTTCGTAAATAGTAAGAAAGAGATTGAATTGAAAGTTGTCATCTTAAAAATTGGCAGGTCTAGAATCCTGAGCTATAAACCATTGTTGAGCATTTTTTTATACCTTGCTTTTCGTAATTCATTACTTTTATTTAGTTTATAATAGTGACTTCTCTGAAAATTGCTTTGAAACTACTGAAATGAGCCATTTGTGTGTCAGAGTTGGTTTAGTGTTGAAGCCTCTCCTTGTAGTGTTAGTCTGTCAGGAATTGTAGATAAGAAACGTAGGCAGGACCTGCTGAGTCTCTGTCAGGCACCACGAATAAAAAGGAAAATCCCTTTGGCTTTTAATCAGGGGTGACTCATAGGTTGCTGATTTATTTTGAACAGCCCTCACTGTTCCCAATATGTAGGTAGTAATAACACTTAAGTTTCAGAGGTGCCTAACCTACATGATAAATTATATGGTCATCATACTTGCAACTCATTTACAGAAAAGTAGGTTGTAATATTGAACAAATATCCCAGAATTCTATCCTATAATTTTAGCCTGCTACGAAAAAAAAATGGTAGATTGACTCTTGCTATCATGGAGCACTTAGAAATGGATATAAACAAAGAATTACATCACAGAGAGAAATTAAGCAAAGTCTTATTTAACAAGAGGAAAAATTCAGAAGATCTGGCTTAGACAGATTAGGGTTACTTTATCTTAGGCACCGTTAGCGTCTGGTTCTTTTGCTCTCTGAAGCATGTCGAACAAGGTTAACTTTTCAAATACTGGAAAAGGTAAACAGTATTTGAAAGGCAAATCCATGTGGGGCATAGGACAGATCTCCATCTGCTGGTTCGCTCCCCATGGCCTGCAGCAGCTAGGACTGGGCTAGGCCAAAGCCAGGAGTGGCCTTCCGTGTGTGTCTTCCGCCTGGGCGGCAGGGGCCAAGGCACTTGCGTCATCCTCTGCTGCTTTCCCAAGCGCCTAACAGGGAGCTGAGCCAGAACCAGAGCAGTAGGTCTCACCAAGTCAAGCCAGCACCAGTCAGTAGCTTTTGTTGCTATTCAAAGACCTTTTATATAAGGATGCGATGATAAATATAATATTTAACATTGTGAGAGATTTTGTTGCATATTGATAATAGAGGTTTATTTAACTTTTTAATGGTTTCTTAAATGTACACTTGTGATATTATATGCTAATTCAGTGGTGCTGGCTTGAGTTCCATCTCTGAAACTTGGCAACCATCTGATAAACTTAGATTTAGGGGAAAAAAAGTTCCTGTCTCAACAGTTCTTCATCAGTAAAATGGGGATGATAATAGATAACACCTACTTACACGGTGATTTGAAGAATTAAATGTGTTTGATAAAATACAGATTGTGCGTCTGTTATGTGACAGGCATGATTTTAGGTACCTGGAGTGTAGAATTTCCTCGTGAATTGATGGACTTAGAAGAGGGGCAGAAGTCAAGGACCTCCGGGGATTTGTGCCTGAATAACTGGAAGGAAGGAATTGTGCTGAATAGAGATAGTTATGTCATGAGACAAAAGACTTTATTGTGGGGCCGACAGGGACTGTGCTGCACAGGTTGAGCCACTGCCTGTAGCGCCAGCGTCCCATATGGATGCCAGTTGGAATCCTGGCTCCTCCATTTCTGATCCAGCTCTCTGCTAATGTACCTGGGAAAGTAGTAGAGGATGGCCCAAATCCTTGGGCCCTGATACCCACAAGGCCCCCAACAAAGCTCCTGGCTCCTGGTTTCAGCCATTTGGAAAGTAAACCAGCAAATGAAAGATCTCTTTTTCTCTCTCTCTCCTTCTATTTCTCTGCCTTTCAAATAAATCTTGAAAAAATAAGAATAGCTTTAGTGCGAAAGAGTATTTGTTAGATATACAGTAAATTTTATGGATGTGCAAATCTGAGCTAGATACACAGCTGGAATCTTAGGCAAAAAAAGAAAAGCGTCAGTGAGGTGGAGAGTGTGGAGACGAGAAGGGAGGGGAAGCAGAGAGAAGCAGAGGGAAAATCACCAGTGAGAGGGAAGCCGAAAGCCTTTCACTCCTGTGAGTCAAGAAGAAAAGGTGTGTCGCGGAATGGTGGTCCACCGTTTCAGATGTTATTGGTGAGTCTGCTTAGCTGAGAATCGGCCGTGTATTTTAACAGGGTCATTGAGAATAAAAATAGTTCTGGTAGAATATTGGAGTCAAAAATTGATTATAGGATCCAGCACAGTAGCCTAGTGACTAAATCCTTGCCTTGCATCAGCTGGGATCCAATATTGGCACTGGTGTGTATCCCAGCTTCTCCACTTCCCTTCCAGCTCTCTGCTTGTGCTCTGGGAAAGCAGTAGAGGATGGCCCAAAGCCTTGGGACCCTGCACCCATCTGGGAAACCTGGAAAGGTTCCTGAGTTCAGATCAGCTTGGCACCGGCCATTACGCTCACTTGGGGAGTGAATCATCGGACAGAAGGCCTTCCTCTCTCTCTCTTCCTCTCTGTGTATCTGACTTTCCAATAAAAATAAATTAAAAAAAAAGAATTTGTGAATTTTAAGAAAAAATTTTAAAGGTTTACTTTATTTTTTTATTGGAAAGGCAGATACATAGGAGAGACAGAAAGATCTGCTGGTTCACTCCCCAAGTGGCCACAACAGCCAGAGCTCAGCTCATCTGAAGCCAGGAGCCTCTTCCGGGTCTCCCGCTTGTGCAGGGTCCCAAGGCTTTGGGCTGTCCTCGACTGCTTTCTCAGGCCACAGGCACGGAGCTTGATGGGAAGTGGAGCTGCCGGGATTAGAACTGGTGCCCATATGGGATCCCAGCATGTGCAAAGCGAGGACCTTAACCATTACGCTATCATGCCGAGTCCCACTTCTCCACTTCTCAGCCCTCCATCTTCCCTCTCCTTTTCTCTTTGTCTCTGCCTCTTTCTTGCTTTCACTTGTGAGATAACATATCTTTAATTTTTGTTATAGTTAGGGCTTATTGCTCCACTAAATAAACTTCAGGAAGTGAAAAGCAGAGGACTTTAGTTTACAGAAATATAAACAAGCATTGTAACAGTTTATCTACTGGCCTTTTCTCCCATTCACAGTAAATTTCAAAGTAATCACAGCCCATTAAAATTCTAGTAGAGCAGAGGAATCCCTGAGCCTATGGGACTGTATCATAAAAAATGAAAAAAGTAAAAAAAAAAAGTTGCTACATAAAAAAATACTCTTAAAAGATGTATTTCATTCTTTTTATGGAAACTTAGATATACAGAGAAGAGACACAGAGAGGAAGATCTTCCGTCTGCCAATTCACTCCCCAACTGACCACAATGACCGGAGCTGAGCCGATCTGAAGCCAGGAGCCAAGAGCCAATTTTAGGTCTCCCATTTTGGTGCAGGGTCCCAAGGCTTTGAACCATCCTCTACTGCCTTCCCACGCCACAAGCAGGGAGCTGGATGGGAAGAGGAACCACTCAGATTAGTACTGGTGTCCATATGGGATCCTGGCTTGCACAAAGCAAGGACTTCAGCCACTAGGTTACTGCAACAGGCCGTAATAGTATAACATTCTTAACCATTAGTTTAACAGAGGTTTAGAACAACTCTGACAAAAGTGTATTTGCAGCAGCACTGATCCACATGGCCTGTTAATCTTTGAAGGAAAACCTAACAAGCCAAATTACCAGACTTTAAAGAAAGTGTAGTTTCCAGAAAACTTTGTGAGTGTCATTACTTTCAGTTCTCACTATATATAATTATTGAATTGATGATAACACTACAAAATGCAGGTATAAAACTGAAATTTCATAGTTGGGGAGACAGTTTTGCCAACAGAGGAAACAGGAGATTTAGGATGTCAACTTAGGTTCTAAACAAGCTTATTATAATAGTAACTACAAAGTGCTAGGAAGAAGTTGCTTCTGGTCGTAATAAAATGAAAAATTATTATGTGAGCCCAGCTGCGTGGCCTAGCAGCTAAAGTCCTCACCTTGAACGCGCCAGGATCCCATATGGGCACCAATTCTAATCCCGGCAGCTCCACTTCCCATCCAGTTCCCTGCTTGTGGCTTGGGAAAGCAGTAGAGGATAGCCCAAAGCCTTGGGACCCTGCACCCGTGTGGGAGACCCGGAAGAGGCTCCTGGATCCTGGCTTCGGATCGGAATAGCAATGGCCGTTGCACTCACTTGGGGAGTGAATCATCGGACAGAAGATCTTCCTCTCTGTCTGACTTGCCAAAAAAAAAAAAAGAAGGAAAGAAAGAAAGAAAGAAAATTATTACTTGTAGTTATACCAAAAAAAGATTAGGATTTCAAGCTCAGAAAAATGAAGTTGAGCACGGTACCTTTAGGCTGAGCACTGAATTGAAAAAAGAAAAACTCAGGACAGATAAAATAAGGTAGTTTCATCAAACAGATAGTAAACTAATGGAAATGTAGAAGCAGCAGCCAACAAATGCACGTGGCTGGAAACTGACAGTAATAGTGAGAACTCCGAGAGATTTTATAAAAACCAGAACATTTGTTATTTACATATGAGATTTTTGGAAGCAGTTTATTTTCATTTGAAAGGCAGACTTTTACAAAGAGAAGAGAAGAGGAGAGAAAGGTCTCCAGTGCACTAATTCACCCACAAGGCCAGCCCTGCGCTGGTGCAGTGCGTGCTGGCAGCAGGGTGCGTCTTCTGGCCTCCGGCTTGGATGCAAGGACCCAAGGCCTGGGCCCTCTGCTTCCTGGGTTTTGGCCGACTTTCTTACCTAAAATGTCATGATTTTTTT